AGTTCAAGTCTGGTCAGTCTTTCTTGCCCCATTGTGCCTCTTAGGTATGTCATGCCGGCCACATGACCTTGGAGGCGTCTACGGACAAGGTTAGCTCTTCAGCTTAGAAATGGAGATGACCACCAATCCCTACAGTTGGACACGACTGGACTTAATGTCAGGGGAAAACCTTTACCTTTTTAATGAAGATTAACCCAGTGGTGCAGAGGTTTAAAGCACTGAGCTGCTGAACTTGCTGACTGAAAGTTGGTTGGTTTGAATTCGGGGAGCAGGGTGAGCTCCCGCTGTTAGCCCCAGCTCCTGCCAACCTAGCAGTTCACAAGCATGCAAATGTGAAAAAGGAAGAGCTAACTCAGAATATTTCTGTTAAAACATGGACAAAAATATAAGCGATCACACATTAAAAACACTGAAACACACAGCAGAAGACTTTAAAGGACAAAAAATACATTACAGTACATGCGCAAAACCACATATATGCACAAACACACATATATACACACACACACATATATACACACAAAAACACATATACTTAGACTGGGCCACAGCAACGCGTGGCAGGGGATGGCTAGTTTAAAATAAAATATTGACCACCAATATTATATTTCTTATGAGATGATAAGTCCAATAGCAGAGGGCGTTTAAGCTTCCCGCCAAAACAACACTGCCAGCCGCAGCCCACTTGAAGAAAACTGACAGCAAGGCAAGGGGCGGAGCCTTCTCTGCATGATTGGCAGCCCTTGGAAAGAGGCAGCTGCTGTACGATTCGATTGTTAGTTTGGTTCTTGTCCCCGCCCGCTCAGAATTGAATGCCAACTCTTGCTCTTCTAAAAATGCCTCTTGCCCATGTTCAAGATGGCCGGCGCTCTTGCGCGTGCGCGTTGAGAGTCCAGTCCCCTAAACGGCGGTTTGCGTGCCCTTTCCCAACATGGCCGTGGCGGCGCCGTTGCCAGGGCGCTCTCGTTGGTCCTCGCCCTGAGAGCCGCGGAGGAAGTTGGCGCGAGGCGACGGCGGCTGGGAGGGACGAAGGAAGGGGCTTCGCGTTTCCTCCTCCTCCTCTTGCGGTGAGTGGCACAGGCGTTGGGAGACGGAAAAAAGAGGCGCTGAGGGGCGGGGAAGGTGCGTGTTTAAACTGAGGGAATGGCAGGTGTGTGTGTGTGCATTTGTTATACGCGTATGCGCGCGCACAGGCGTTTCGGCTGCTCTGATTTGAAAGAGAAACTTGGGGTCGAAGGGCAGAAATGGTTGGAACTGGGGACTTCTTTTTGGTGGCCTTTTTCAGTTCAGTGGAAAGAGAGGGGCGGAGCAAGAGGCCTCGAAGCGTCAGTTTAAGAGACTGAAGGGCCTGGAGGGCGTTGAGTTGGCTCGCTGTTCTACTTAATGGAGAATGAGAGACCTCTCAGGATGGCTCAGAATGAATGAAGCTTGGCCCCACTGAAACTGCGATGGGATCATGGGATTTGTAGTTTCACAAGCTGTTTCGCCTTCTCTGCCAAAAGGTGCAGGCCCCTCTCCAGACCACACATCCCAGGATTCCTTAGCATTGAGCCAGGGCAGTTAAAGTGCATTCATAGAATCATAGAATAGAATCCTAGAGTTGGAAGAGACCTCATGGGCCATCCAGTCCAACCTAGAAGCAGGAATACTGCATTCAAAACACCCCTGGCAGATGGCCATCCAGCCTCTGTTTAAAAGCTTCCAAAGAGGGAGCCTCCATCACACTCCAGGGCAGAGAGTTCCACTGCTGAACGGCTCTCACAGTCAGGAAGTTCTTCCCAATGTTCAGATGAAATTCATTCCACGGTATAGACCAGAGGTCCTCAAACTTTTTAAACAGAGGGCCAGGTCACAGTCCCTCAAACTGTTGGAGGGCCGGATTATAATTTGAAAAAAATGAATGAATTCCTATGCACACTGCACATATCTTATTTGTAGTGCAAAAACACTTAGAAACAATACAATAATTAAAATGAAGAACAATTTAAACAAATATAAAATTATTAGTATTTCAATGGGAATTGTGGGCCTACTTTTGGCTGATGAGATAGGATTGTTGTTGTTCTTGTTGTTGTGTGCTTTCAAGTCATTTCAGACTTAGGCTAACTCTGAGAGAGGGCCAGGTAAATGATCTTAGAGGGCCGCATCCGGCCCCCGGGCCTTAGTTTGAGGACCCGTAGTATAGACGCACCCGAAGTCACTGTGTCGTCAGCAGCTCTGCTCAGGTGCTCCCAAGTTACCACCACAGATTCTTCCTTTGCTTTTAATTTTATATATTTTAATTTAATATAATATATTGTATGTGTCTGTCTATCTATCTATCTATCTATCTATCTATCTATCTATCTATCTATCTATCTATCTTGTAAGCCGCTCTGAGTCCCCTTCGGTGTGAGAAGGGCGGCATATAAATGTGGTAAATAAATAAATAAAATTATTGTCAATATCAGCCATGGGCAAATTTCAGCCCTCCAGGTGTTCAGGACTTCAACTCCCACAATTCCAACAGGCATGGCCAAACTTTGCTGATGCCTGGTTAGTATGATGATTAATATGCAGAGAGGTCTTGTACTACCTAGTGACTGGGAGAAAGAAGTTAGTAGCAGAACCTGTCATAGACTTGGGCCTGCTCTATTAGGGCCCTTCCAGACAGGCCTATATCCCAGGATCTGATCCTGGATTATATGAGTTACCACTGCCAGATAATCTGGGATAAACAACAAACCTGGGATCAGATCCTGGGATATAGCGCCTGTCTGAAAGGGCCCTCAGATACATGAAGTGAAGTGCCAAGGAACAAAGCTAGGTAGCTATGAATGTGCTGTTTGTCAGTACTTAGGCAAGTATCCTAAGATGGGTTTGATACTTGACTCGACAGCAGTACGTGTAAAAAGGCATATTGGAGTCCTCATGGACAAGTTAAACATGAGCCGACAATGAGATGCGGCAGCTAAAAAAGCCAATGGGGTTTTGGTCTGTGTAAATAGAACTATAGTGTCTAGATCCAGAGAAGTCATGCTACCTCTGTATTCTGTTTGGTCAGACCACACCTGGAATACTGTGTCTCTAATTCTGGGAACCGCAGTTTAAGAGAGATGTTGACAAGCTGGAAGGTGCCCAGAGGAGGGCGACTAAAATGATCAAAGGTCTGGAGAACAAGCCCTATGAGGAGTGGCTTAAAGAGCTGGGTATGTTGAGCCTGCAGAAGAGACGGCTGAGAGGAGACATGATGAGGGCCTTGTATAAATATGTGGGAGGAAGTCATAGGGAGGAGGAAGGAGGCTTGTTTTCTGCTGCCCTGGAGACTAGGATGCGGAACAATGGCTTCCACCTAAACATTAGGAAGAACTTTCTAACTGTGAGAGCTGTTCAGCGGTGGCACTGTCTGCCCCGGAGTGTGGTGGAGGTTCCTTCTTTGGAGGCTTTTAAACAGAGACTGGATGGCCATTTTCAGGGGTACTTGGAATGCGATTTTCCTGCTTCTTGGTGGGGGGTTGGACTGGATGGCCCAGAGTTCTCTTCCAACTCTATGATTCCTTTGCATACAGGAAAGCACCTAATTCAGTCCATCCGACTGAATTGGGTGCTTTACTGTATGCAAAGGAATCTTGTGGTACTTTTGAGACATAACTGGAAGAAAAGAAGTTGGTAATCCATGACCCCTTCTACACTGCCATATAGAATCTAGATTGTCTGTTTTGAACTGGATTATATGGCAGTGTAGACTCATATAATCCAGTTCAAAGAATATAATGTGGAATATCTGATTTGATAATTTGGATTATATGGTAATGTAGAAGGGGCCTAAGCTCTCCTAGATAGAAATCTACTACATCTAATGCCTGTCTTTGTAGAGTTAGTCTATGAAAGCCAATGCTACCAACTTCTTTCTCTCCATTAGTCTCATTGGTGCTACAAGATCCCTTTTGCATACTGATGTTCCAGACTAACACGGCCATGGCTTTGAATTCTGTCATCATGAGGATAATATTTCCTTGCTGGATCTGCAGTATTTTAGCACCTGGGATGAAGAGGGGGAAGTAGTTGGCCCTCATAGGTGAGCCATCTATTAAGTACATACCTTGATTTTAGAAGTACTAGTTTGGACCCTCCCACTCCTCATGCCTCAACACAGCTATCTATCCAACTTCCTCACATTCAAGTAGTAATGATAATCTTACGACATTTGTTGTTTTTAAGATAATTTGGGGACTATGCAATGTATGTGTGTTGTGTAAGATCAATGGAAAAAGAAGAAAGATATTCTGATTGCAGTAAGTTCTGTTTTTTTCCTGCCAAGACACATTCTCAGTTTTCATTTTGCATGGACTAGTTTGTGGTTTTAAGACTAAGCATGAGACAGGATTAATCTCTTTTTGGGATAGATCCAAAATAAATACTTTATTTCAGGGTGTTTTTAAAAATGTTTTTGGATAATGGCTGCCAACTGTAAATAACTGGTAGTGCAAGTTGTCACTGCTGAATATGAATCACCAGTTTGCTTTCTGGAGAAGTTGCTTGTGAAGAAAATAGATGTGCACTGCAGTCTGAAGAGGAAGATTCTGTTGGACTCTTCCTGGAAGTGGGAGGAAAGCATTTTTCTCATTTTTTTTCCTCCCCACAGCTCATTCTGGAAATGGCTTACATCATTTTGTGTTTTGATCATGCTTTGAGTGATTAACATTCCATTCAAGGCATTGTCTGTATTAGCTGCTAATTATCTGAGGTCATGGGATCTGTAATGTAGTCTAACAAAACAAGTAGAGCCATTACGTGTCACCTCTGCAATAACTCTGCCTTTCCTCTTTGCCTGGGGAGATGGAGATCCACAGCCAGAGAGTGGAAGTATGCTGTCATACATAGGAGAGATCTAGGAGTTTTCCAGGAGGAGCACTGAAAAAGTATTCAGGATCTGGGGCTTCTTATTCTCTCAACATGCCAGCTACGTACGTTGGAGAAATATTAGGCCATATCTGGAAGTTACATAGTATGTTTGTTTCTTATTGAGATCTATTGGAAGAGTTCAGCAAAGAAAACAACTCCCAAAAGGAGAGAATAGATGCTCCCCTTATTTTCTGCTTGTTACTGTGGATCCAAGGCAGGTTTGGTAAGTGTGGCCCTCCATATGTTTTCAACAAACAATTTAAAACATCCTTAACCAGCAGTGAAGGATTTTTGGAACTGAAGTTTAGAAATATTTAGTGAGCTACAGTTATACAAGGAGTGATGGTTCACCCTTCATTAATTCTCTCTCTCATCCTTGTTAGTGTGTTTAGTTAAAGGTACAACTATGTATATTTTTCTGTTGTAATATTTATTCATTGGATTCATGTTGCTATTTTACAAGCCTTAAAATTACTATCCATTCATGTATAGTTGCAGTAATTGCAGGTTGGCATTGATTTGAATGTACTTTATCCCACATGCTTGTGACTAGAAGTGTTTTAGATTTTGGATTTTTTTCTGATTTGGCAATACCTCTATGTGCATATATATATATATATATATATATATATATATATATATATGAAATATCTTGGAGATGGGACCGAAGTCTAAACATTACTTCATGTATGTTTCATATACAGCTTATTCATATAGTCTGATCAGTATATATACAGTATTTTAAATGTTTTCATTAAAGAAAGTTTGTTTACATTGACCCATCAGAAAGCAAAGGTGTCATTATCTTAGTCACTCATGGACTATTTTGGGTTTTGGAGTATTTTGGAATTTGGAATTCTGTTTAAGGGATGCTTAACTTATATTTGAATATTTTGTTCAGCATCATATTCCATGCTATTGCTTAATGACTTGTGGCACTTTGAATGTTTGCCTTCTCGAAGACAGAATTACAAGCTGTGAGATATATGAGAAAGCACCTCAGTTCCATTCCCCATTCCTGCCTCAGCTACTTTTTCCTTTACTAGGATAAATGTTTTCCTCCTATTTGCAGGGCCAAAGGAAGTCTCAGGTGTGATAAATTCTAATTGGAAAAACACCCAAAGGGGTTACCCCATTTTCACTCTTGCACTTCCCTTGTATGTGTGCAGCCACCATACCTGTGATTTGTAATTTTAAAAAAACTGTTGGAAGCAAACTGTTGTTGTCTCATAGTCTAGGTATTATATGCAGTTTGACCCTGTATATATTTAAGCTCTGTACATGTCTGCTTTGGGTGTGTGTTGTGTAGGTTTTTACACATTGAGTTGTAGAAGCCTCAGCAAATAGTATGTTGGATTGTGTAGCTATCATTTGTACTTTCATATATATACTATTCCCAAAGCCGTGATTCTGAATATATGTTACTGGTACATAGTTCCCTGACTGACCATTAGACATCTTAGTTGGGACTTGGAGGAGTCTGAAGTCCAACAACTTCTGAGGATCCACAATTGCTGTAGAATGCTGCTTCAAATTTGGTCCTCCAGATATTTTGGATTTAGTTTCCAGAATTCCAGGCCAACATGCCTGATCATCAGGAATACTGGGAACAGAACACTTCTCTTCTGAAGTCAGTTATCCAAATCACTTCCATTCTGGTTCCTGTCCGATTCTTTTCTTCCCCTTCCACATAGTAGTATGGCAACATCAGTAGAAAAAGGGTGGCCTCTCCCATTTGTCATGGCTAAGTAAGAGAAAAAAATGTAGAGAGAGAGAGAGAGAGAGAGAGACTTTCTGTTTCTGGCATAGTAACTGTGATGGCAGGAAGGGGGTGATTGGTTGAAGAATCCTGTAGTTTCTCAGGTTAAATGAGGAAAGAATAGAGGATATTTCTCTGTTTTAGCTAGCAATTCTGAAGGAGGCAGTTCATTTCATAAGCACTGCATAGGATGGAATGGCGTTGAGGTTGACTGAGCAGTGGAAAAATGGCTTTGTATGTAAAAGGTGTAGACTATGTTTCTTGACATTTTCAGGTAATGCTGGAAAAGACATTCATCTGAGATTCGAGAGTGCTGTGTCTCATATGTGTAGACTTGCTTTATTTTAGACTACAATACCAAAGACCAGTGGTGATGGATAAGGAGACTTCTGCTCCCAAGCATTTGAAAGGCATCAGGTTGAAATAGATTACTGGTAGACAATACCAAGATTGATGGTTTGACGTATAGGAAAGCTACTTGTGTTCTCTCCTCAACAGATAAAACTGTGCTAGATGAAGCACAGGGGTGAATTCATACAAGGCAGCTTCCTATTTTCAAACATAGATTTAGCAGTGATTCAGGCCAGCGCCAGAAGAGATTGATTTTAAATCAAGGCTGTATAACACCATGAAAAAAAGGTCCAATTTAAATCATCGATTCAAATCGTTTCTCATTTTGAAATTCATATATTTCCCAACAAGCATGCATGGTAACTGGTCATTCTGTCAAATAAAACATGTGTGCAAGAAAATTGAGTCTCTCTACACCATAGGAGCATTGCCCTTGTAGTCTGTATATACTTTAGAGATCAGAGGGCATTTTCTGCTTGAATTTTTGGCAGGTGTGTAAGGAATTTAAGGAGAAACACTTATGTGGCAACTAAAGTTGACTTATTTGAAAGTCTCTCATTGAAAAAAACAAACAGATTTTGTAGCTTGAGCCTGTGCATTCAGAAATAAGTGTCCAAATGTTCTGTAAGCAAGTGCTAGTAGGAATCGGGGGAAAGACTTTCCGCATGAGATGGAAAGTAAATGTCTGTGGTATTTGGTTAGAAGTTATACATATTCATAATTTGAGAAGGGAATATAGAGATCAGGTAGCTGAAGAACAAACTTACATTGGTTATGTGGATGGTGTAGGAAAGATACACTAGGGTGTATGTTATGTACTTTTGCCTGTGGTGAACTGCTGGTTCTTCTAGCTTAGGAAGGAAATTCACAATAACACATAAAATATTAGTTCCAACATTTGACTTATTGGGTTACTTGCAATTCATAGAGCATGATCCAAGTCTTCTTTACTCAAAAGTAAGCTCATTGTGTTTTCTTGGGCAAATGTGAAAGTCAAGCATTCAGACATGTTTCCCCTGTGAATGTCTTTTTTGAACCACAGAGCAAGGCATTCTATTAAATAAGTGTCAGTGGTTCAGTTTAAAGCATACAGTATTTATATTATGGTTTCATTCTAGGCATCTTTGCTTTTTAATTGATCCTACTAAACAAGAGATTTGACTGCTGCAGAATCACACTTTGTTGCTCAACAGAACCAGACTTCCAAAACAGGCATTTACCTAATACCATTGTCAGCACAAGAGGTCTTTTTTGTGCGGTCAAAAAAAATACTGGGACAACAATTGTCCTATTCTATTGTATTTGTCCTTTGGGTACTTGATCCCAAATAATACAGTGTATTGGGATTAAAGAAGTCCCATACAGTAAGACCCTGTAACTCTTACCTACAGTTTATTTGTACCCAAGGGAAAATAGTTTCTCCAGGAATTTGCCATGTCCTTTAGGTGAGTCTAAGGTATTTCTGCCCCCCCCATTTTACCATAGAGTCATGGAGTAGGACATAGAGATTCCTACAGAGTGATCCTAGATATTCCTCTAGGTAACTTTCTAGGAATTTTTCAGACATATACATCAAAATGGTATGCTGAGACTGTAAGTCAGCTAATTTAACAAGGTTCGATTATATCTGTGGTTTCAGGTAACTGTGGTCCAGTCAGGAATGTATCTCCCATGGATATGGGGATACTGTATGGTTTTGTGTTGAACATGAGGTGAGTACTTAAGTGGGAAGCAAAGGAGAGGCAGGGTTTTGAATGCTTGTTACTGTAGATCAGGGGTCCTCAAACTAAGGCCCGGGGGCCGGATGCGGCCCTCCAAGGTCATTTACCTGGCCCTCGCACAGGGTCAACCTAAGTCTGAAACGACTTGAAAGCACATAACAACAACAAGAATCCTATCTCATCAGCCAAAAGCAGGCCCACGTTTCCCGTTGAAATACTAATAAGTTTATATTTGTTAACATTGTTCCTCATTTTAATTATTGTGTTGTTTTTAAGTGTTTATTACACTACAAATAAGATATGTGCAGCATGCACAGGAATTCATGTTTTATTTTTCAAATTATAATCCAGCCCTCCAACAGTTTGAGGGACTGTGACCTGGCCCTCTGCTTAAAAAGTTTGTGGACCCCTGCTGTAGATGTTCCCTTTATCCTGTCCAAAAGGATCAAGCAGAGATACAGATGTCATGAGAGGCAGAAATGGTATGGTGCAGATATTCCCAGTCTACTGTTGAGTAGTCAGAGTTTTCATTCCAGAATATGTAGGGGCAAAGAAAGATGCAAATAAATAAACTGTGCTAGAACCCTTTGAACTGGTCCTTATAGAAACTATTATTTGCAATTTTATCCATGGAACAAACGAAGATTAAGTGAGATTGAATGAGGGAGACCATACCAAAGGACAAATGTAGGTCCATTGACATGACTGACCTTGACATTATTGACCTGAAGGGATACTCTTGGATTAGTGTATCAACAACACAACACTCTTGAGGAATTGGGACACCCAAACTCAAGATGCTGCCATTTCAGAGCAGCAGTGACCTCAGGGGGATTTTGTGTTCTTAGGGGCCACAGGGGAAATGACATTGCTCAAAGTCATGCAGCCTGGCTGTTGAATTGAGATAGTATACAAGGAAGGATTCGAAGACTACCAAATTAGACATATCAGGCCACAATCTGATAGTTTTGAGTCAACTGGAAACAAGACTCCAAGTAAAAGAATTAAAAAGTGTTCCTTTGCTTGAGAATATAAGAAGCACTGCCTGAATATCAAGTGAAAAGTAGGTGCTAGAAATAATATATGAAAGCTGACTGGCACAACCTGGGGATCACAACCAGACACAGTGAAGGCATCTGCTGTGGAACTTTGCGACTGCTGCTGAATATGCATGCCCAATGTGGAATACATCTCACCACATTGTCACAGGATGCCTACGGCCTACACCACTGGAGAAATTTTACTGTTTAGCTGGTATAGCACCACCTGTCATCCGCCGGGAAGTAGCAGCCAATAATGAAAGGACCAAGGCATTGACATCTCCGGCCCATCTCCTGTTCAAATATCAGTCATCACGCCAACGCCTTAAATCAAGAAATAGCTTTCTAAGATCTACAGAGATACTTGTAAGAACCCCACAGAAAGCGAGAGTCCAAAAGTGGCAGGCTAAAACCCAGAACTTCAGTCCATGGCTGATACCAAATGACAGACTCCCTCCTGGGCACACAGAAAACTGATTGACTTGAAAGCCACTGAACAAACTGTGCTCTGGCACCACGAGATGCAGAGCCAACCTTAACAAATGGGGCTTAACAAACCTTAACAAACGTTAACAAACGAGATGCAGAGCCAACCTTAACAAGTGGAGTCCATGAAATGCGAGTGTGGAGGAGAGCAAACCACAGACCATTGTAGTAGGTAGTAGACCACCTACTACAATGCAACCTGAGCCCTGCCACATGAACAGTGGAGGACCTTATTATAGCAACAGCAGAGACACTCCAGGTGGCCAGTTACAGGTCAAAGAACATTTAGCATAATGCCAAGTTTTTAACTTTGTGTTTTAAATACATTTTAATTGTATCCTCAGTTTGTTTCTGACACAATAAATAAATACATTCTCTCAACAAAAAATGAAACTCTCAAGAACTACTATATAGCAAGATAGATGTGAGTTTCTCAGATTGTTTTTATATGGTTAGGGCTGGAACTGAATTTAGATTTTTGATCAGGCAAAGTTTTTTACAGTATTTTTTATGCTGATTTTTTGGGTAAAATTTTGATTAGTTCTCAAAATCTGCATTCTGAATCTGCTTTCTAGTGATGTCACTTGCTTGGTAGTCCTAATTAAAGAAGGATTTGAATTAGATTGTATCTAATGGGCAACCTGGTATTTTAGGGGGTGAATTTTCTCTAGAAACCTTTTTCATAACACCACACTTGCAGACAAGATACTTAATCTGGGGAATGATGGAAAATGGATATATATATGAAGTTAGATTGTGATAGAGAATTTGGAAATGATGGGTCATGTAAGTTGGGTTGTGTAATTATATGGGTGCCTAGACTGTCATTTGAATTGACTTATATTGTGGTTATATTTTAATTAAAACTCTAATGCTTTACTTCTAGCTGTGAATTGCATTACAAGATTGATTGTAAGTTATAAAACAGCCTGTCTCTGCAAACAAAGAAATGGGTGGAATCATTTCCAGATGGCGGGTAAGTAAATTTTGTTGATTAGAGGTGGATTTTTTAATTGCCCGAAGAACCAGGTCTCAAATGTTGTTTCTGATACATTTACTGTGGCATAGACTGAAGAGCTAGACTGGTATTGTCTATAAAAATAGTGCAAGATGATTGCAAAAGTTATATTCATGAGTGCATTGACTCTAGCTCAGACAGTTGGCTTTCCAAACAAAGTAAGACTGGAATTTTGAAATTGCAGAATATCTTGTCAGAAATCATAGAGCAGGTCCAAATTAAACATCACTTCCTAAATGATGACCTCAAAGTAAGTGATTTATGTATGTTTAGTCAGTTGAAATCAACAGGCATATGTATGTTTTATACTGTGTTGAATTATATCTACCATAGTTCTGCTGGGAAAGGGGTGTTCTGGACAAATGTTCTAGAAATGCATGTTGTCAGCAACCAAGCATTGATCAAGTAGAAAGTTATTGCCTAGAAAAAAAGTACTTTCTGCCATGAAATCTGCTGAGTGTTGGTAAGCTAATTTTGTGATGTTTGAATAGTAGCCTTTAGGGCAACTTAGTCCTTTTTGTAAATGAGGGGCCCATACATCCGACTTACAAAAGAATCATATTTAAGGACAGGGCTGAGACAACAGGAAGATATAGAGGCTGGAGTTACACTTAAAAATGTACCTGTTCTGACTTACATAAAAATTCAGCTTACGAACAGACCTACAGAACCTATCTTGTTCTTAACTTGAGTAAATACCAAGTATTTACTCAAGTCTAATGCACCATTGAATCTAATAAACACTTCAATTTTTAAAACCTTGAAATCAAAAAAAGTATTTGCTGGCAAATGTAATGCACAGCATCAAAAGGTGCACTTTTTGTAATATGTCCATTATAGTTGCTTCCTGCTTAGAATTCCTTCACAATTAATAACAATTGTGTTGGTACACCAAAGCTTTCAGGAATGGAAAAGAAACCTTGGGGGGCATCTATGCTGTAGAATGAATACACTTTGGTTCAATGCTATGGAGTTATGGGGACTGTAGTTTTACTAGGCCTTGAGCCTTCTCTGCCAAAGAGTGCAGATGCCCAACCAAATTACAAATTTGATGATTATATTGCATTAAGCTATGACAAATTACACATGACACCCCTCAAATAGACGCTCACGGTGCTGATGTAGCAGCTTCCCCTATTGTTTTGGCTCAGCAATAAGATTACCTTATTACGCAAATGTAATGCACATCCTAATTTTGGCAAGGTAATTTAGAAAAAACAAAAAAACTAAAAACGAGCGTTAGATTCGAGTAATATGTTATTTGTGAGCGTTATAAGGGTGCTGTATGATAGTTGTTAATTGCTGCCAAATTGATTAGCAGATATCCTATTACAAACTTCCATGTCACCTTGTTATTAGTAGCTCTCTTCAGGTCTGCTACACTCAGGTCTGCTGCACTCAGGCCATGTTTTCTTGGATTGAATTTACCTATCTGTAATGCAGTCTTCCTCTTTTTCGGCTAACTTCTACCTTACTAAGCTGTATTGTATATTATTGTGTGTCATGTCTTCTCACGATAGCTCTGTAAGATAGGTAGCTGTTATTATCCATATGTTTACATAGTGAAGTTAACTTGAGGCTAAGAACGCAAGTTACTTGATTTAAAATTACTTATGGCTTCCAATCCAGTTGAAACAAAGAACCATTGCAAGTAATTCATTTAAGTGGCCAAGAATTTCTATTTGTTTTTTTATCACTAGGGATTAATATTAGTTCAGTGTTTTCCCGAATTCTGGACTTTCAGGTGTTTTGGACTGCAGATCCCAGAATCCTTGATCATTGACCAAAGCAGCTGAGGTTTTTGGGCATTGAAGTCCAAAAACCTGGAGGACTAGAGTTTGAAAATCACTCTTGTAGTTCAGTTCCCTATGTGATATTGAGTAAATAGGATTCCCACCAAATGTTGCTGGACTGCAATTCCCATAATCCCCCAGCACACCAAAGGATAAGGGATTGTGGGCATTGTATTCTAAAACATCTGGTGGACTAAGTGTTACAATTTCTGCCCTGTATGTTTGTCTGAATTGTGAATAGGCTAGTGGTGAACCAACATAGTAAATATGTTCTGAATGACAGTCTGTTTCTCAGTTCTCTTTGATTATGGAATGAAAATGTAATTGAAGTGAAAACTGTGGTTAAAACACTCGTGGTTTCTAATAAAATGCTCTGTGAATTTTGAAAGAGAAAGACAACATAGAGCAATTTATTTCCATCCTTAGACATAATGTAGGAATCTTATTAATTCTGTGCAGTACTTCTGTTGAATGTTTACATGTCTGTGTAGAGCATGCTTTACTTTTCCTCAGTATGAGAAAGTTTTATAATTGAAATAATCGACTTTGGAAAAGACACATCTAATTAATAGAGCTCTTTAACATTGAAATAAAGATCGCTTTCTATTTTTAATGGGCTGGTATACGTTGCTATAAGGGTTAAGGAGAAGCAAACACTCTCAGATTTCAGGTTTTGCACGTGCACTGGCTCATGTACTGCTGGTATGCCAATTGTGTTGCCCATGAGGTACGTGGTAGTCCCTGGCAGGGGTTCAGTGTGACCCCACTTTTTCAAATTTTCAGTCTCCTTCCACTCCATTTATTTTAACTAAACCACTGTTTGTGGGTAAAATAATCTTTATAAAGGTTTCAGATTAGGTAGCTAATATCTCATCCAGAAACAGCATGAAATGTCTCCCCTGATAGCTAAAAAATAATGTTGGAAGCGATTTGGCGTCAGTTGCAGTCACCAAAATCATGGTTGTAGTGGCATAGCAATTACTATCTGGAGGATTTTCATAATGTTTTAATTAAAAGAAATCATATGCAATAATAATACAAATAAATCGGAAGTAGACCAAATCTCTGAATATAAGTCAATTTGTAAATTATGTTGAGACATCATTCTTTCAAATGTTCCAGATCATAGGTGGGAATGTTCTCTTTCTTATACTGGAGTATCAATTTTTAGCAGCCAAGAGTGTATGAAATATCATTTTCTCTTGACTAGAAGATAAGTCCTAAGATACATGGTTTAAAAGAATATCATCATCATCTGCGAACAACTTTCTAATACCACACTTATTTGTGTAATTACTTCCCCCAAGAATAAAGCAACTACAGGTAGTTTCTAAAACATGGATTAAAGAGGCTTTAACTGTATTACACCTCCAATAACTAGCCAGTTTAGATAAGCCTTTATTAAATAGACATGGTAACCTGTATATTTGGAACAGCAGTTTTTGTTGTGAAAGACACAATTGGAAATCTATAGTCATTCATGATGTAGAAGTTACAATACACTAACCCATAACCTCTCCCCATTCCAAATGCCACTGCCCTGAAGGTGATGATGATAACAATAATAATAACAACTACTACTGATTGGCCAAAATTGAGCATCACACTTCCTTATACAATTCCTGTTGCTGGTGTTGCATTTCAAATTTTTTGGTAATGCAGTTTATATATATAACTCAGTGACTTGGGTAATTGATCAGCCTCAATAAATGCTGTTTCTTTCTTGTTTGTAAGGAAGATTTATCAAGCTCTTCCTTTCCACAGTCTTTGTAGAAAATGCACACAAATAGTATTTTGTGTAATAAATGTATTAGTATTATATTTAAATGTTCTCAACATAAAACTTTTCTGTATTGGTTTCTTTATCCTTTGCCTTTAATCAGCTCTCTGCGAACTTATAACTTTGCTTATGTTTGTTTTGTAAAGCAGGAATTTGTGGCCAATATGTTTATTTATTTGTTCTTACGTTTTAAAACTGCCTCATCATAGAATTGATTTATTAATAACATGGGTAGCTTGCTTTGGTTTTGAGAAAGTAATTGGTATGTTTGAGCTGACTATGCCCTATTTTCTGTTATTGATTTCATATATCACAAAACGGATGCTGTTCAAAAATGACGTATAATAATTATTTTCTGCCTTCTCTACATTGGGCCATTCCATAGTTGCTCACTTCTTCAAATGGCTCACTTCTTCTACAACATGTTCCCCAACATGTTGTATTTTTTCTCATTTTTTATGAAGAGCTGATGGGGAAAATGTTGCTGCTTGTGGTCCAGACGTTTCTATACTTTTACTTTCTGTCACTTGATTTGTGATTGTAGAAGTAGTGTTGATAGTAGTATTACAAATGATATTTGAAAGGCTGTATATTTTCTAGTGCAAATCATTGCATTTTGTCTCCAAATGTAAGATTCACTTGTTGGCGACATGTGTATAATCGAGCTCTTGAGGATCAAATTTCATACTAATTTATTTTCTCTTGTAAGCAGGTAAAACCTTCCACTGTAGAAGTATTGGAAAAAATTGATAAGGTATGTTGTATTTTTTATTACTTGTTCTAAGAACTAAATCTAGTGACTGGATATTCTTTTCTGCTATCTGTATATTCTATTTTGACTTGGGCATAAGATGTATCTAGATATAGTCATAGACACAGTTACATTAGACCCAATAAATGAATGAGAATCCATTATCATGATTAACTTAGTTGTATAAAATGTAGGGGGTATACTCTTAAGTATAACCAAATCTGGATCAAACAAGAGCTTGAGCTATAAGAAACATGTTTTTAAATAGAAAAAACAAACAAAAAATCCTCCCAGGCCTTCTAGCTGAAAAGCATTATTATAACAGTATCGTTGTCATTCCTGATCCTGGTTTTCTTTTCATGTAAGTGAGTGCTTTATGTCTGCCTAGAACTATACAGGACAAAAGAAGAAAAACAATTGTCTGTTTCACTAATCTTTCTTGCTGGGTTTTCCTTGATTCACATAAACAGGCAATACTAAAAAGGTTCCTTGCAAGACAGGTGTTTTCCTTGCATCCCCCCCCCCCTTTGTTCCAGGTCCCTCATATTTGTAGGTTATATCTTTAGGTGAAGGGAACTAAATTTGTTTTTTCTAATGAGCCAGAGATCAATTCCATATTTGCTCAATGGTGCCACCTCTATCCCTGGAAACTCACCACAGGCTGATGATTTGTGTGTTGGCAACTGGTCTAAAGACCACTATTATACATAATATTACACAATAGTCTACTTGCCAAATAGTTCTTGAAATGATGTGGATAAGGGGAATAATTATAGAAACTCCCTTTTCTTAAATATTTTGTGATACAATTTTGCCCAATTTTTTCTGGAAAAAAAAGACTATGGCCACCTTACCTGTTCGGGGACCATTTTTCTTGATATCTTTCAGGCCTCCACATTTCTAATCCAATTCTTTAATAGTAAATTAAGCCTAGCTGCATTATAGAATAACAAATTTGTGGTGATGGTTAATACTTTCTATATGATCAATGGATAGTGTTTGTGGGAATCTAAAGCTGTGTATCCACACTTTCCAGATAGTACGTCTCATTTGAACATTGTAGGCCATGCATAAGAGTGCAGTGTAAGTTAGGTGGTAGTTGTAAATATAGTGGCTGTGATCTAAAGAAATGAAATGTGCAAGCATGCAGTTTTGAGCTTTGGGTGCTGTTCTTGCAGGCTTTCATAGAATCATAGTTGGAAGAGACTACACGGGCCATCCAGTCTTTTAATGTCTTTGTATTTCATCTGGCTCTTAATACTTGAATTCGTTTATAGTAGCCGGATATTCCTGTATTGCCCTACTGCATCATCTGCTCCATCCCTCCCAGTTGAGCACTGTCAACCTTTTAGAAGAAGACTGAAGCAAAGGAAGTGTTAAGCAGTTCTGCATTTTCTCTGTCCCAATACAATGTTGTCATTGTCTGACCACAGCGGCCCTACCATTTCTTTGTTCTTCCTTTTGCTATGAGCATAACCAAAAGAGCCCTTTTTATTGTTTTTACTCTGTCAAACCTGAGGCTATTCTGTTATTTGGCTTTTCTAACTTTCTCTCCACACACATGCTGACTATTCTATTTAATTATTTGGTGATTTCTCCCACTTTCCATTTATTGTACAGGCTGGTCCAAAAGTCACGAAGGGGTCTGATGTAAAAACTTTTGATTTTTTTCTTTATTAATGAGATTTGATTTTTTTACACATAATGTACATTTATTTCCTATATAACTGTATATGATGCTATGATATTAAAGGAGTTACTAAACATTGAACCCCCTTTATGACTTTTGACCCACCCTGTACATGTCCCTTTAAAACCTTTGCTTTCATAATACCAGCAAGCCTTGTGGCTTCTTAAAATTAAATAGAACATGTGTCCTCATGCTTTACATGAATAAGTTGTGGCATACCAAGTGCCTAAAGAAAAGGAAACAGATCACCTCTCCCACTTTAGAAGTGTTTTAATGATTGTTGATCGCCGCAGGCAGGGATCAGCAGTATAATAGTTTATTTAGTCTGCATTTAGAAGTGAGAAAAAATATTTCTACCTGTTACCAAGAATGTAATGGAAGTACTGCTGAACATGTGCAAGAGACCTTCTCTTTCCACTCAACAAGTGCCAATCTGCTTCTCATTCTATCAGCTATCCAGCCAGCCAATGAACAAAGCATATCTTTCTCTTATTCTTTTTCTTTAAATCTGTTTGCACTTGGAACTAGATGACTTATTCCCTGAGACTGTATGGAGGCTGAGGCTGTAAACTTTCCTAGCAGTTGCCTTCGTCTTATCCCGCAATCGTTTCTCCATAGACTGTGGAAGTAATGTTATAACTAGTTTTATCTGTAAGATTTAATGAGGACATAAGAACCGTCATACTTTATGTGATCTTTAACAAGTAATGGAACTAAGTCATGGGAAAACTCAGGATAAGAAGTAGTTGTCTGAGTAGATATCTGAGTAGGATAATGCTCATTTCTTACTGGAGTCTCACTGTACCCCTAAAATCTGCTTCAGAAACCTGGAAATGCTCTTCAGTCAGTTTTGGTCAGCATTTTTTTGGTTATTTTTTAAATTTCTTTGTGGAGGTGTTAAAATGTTTTTCTTGGGTAATTTTTGAATAAATTACCCCCCTCACCACCACATTTTAAAAAATAAACTCCCGATTTTTTAAAAAGCCAGTCAATAAAAACTCTTTTTAACAATGATGATATTGTTAATGACAAGGCTTGTAGTGAGTTGTGTAACAAATTAATTTTTAAAGTAACTTTTCAAGCTCTAACACTGGTTGTTCCTGAGAAGAGAAGGGAAAGGGAAGAAACATGCACCACTGCCATTCAAAATCACGGAATAGATTTCCCCCCTGAAATCTACCTGTATATTTCTGGTAATTCAATTGCAGTTAAGCAGGTTTTCTCCTGGACCGTTCTAACTTCTCAAGATCAAATATGTTCTTGTCCAGGTCTCTTGTGGACTGACCACAGGTGACTGGTTATTTACAAACCTGATGGTGTAGCCTAAAGATACAAATTTGGGATGAAGTTCTGTAAAAACCAGTGGGTATTTTTTTCTAAGTAAATATGGTAAGGATCAGGATGTTAGATTATGAAACTAAATGTTTGTACAGAATTGGTTGGTCATCTGTACTGCTTCCGTTGTGATTATAGAAAGTAAACTTGAAAGATAAAACTGTGCACTTTCTTGGTTTTTCTTCCCATGATCCCAAAGATACTGTGCTTCCGAGGCTGCCTGTTTTCAACATGGCGAAAAAATACATAGAAACTTTTTGCTGACCATCTTCCCCGTTGCTTGGTTTCATTTTTACTCTTGCTGAGGATTATCTACCATGTGTGGGAGCTATACATATGTGCTCTTACAAAGCATGGATCTGATCGTGTCTTACATTAAACATATAAGGATATGAATTATATTCATTACCTGATTTTGACCTCATCTACATTGCCATATAATGTAGTTTGAAATTGTATGATATGGTCAGTGTAGACTATGACACCATACAAACTGACATTTAATGCAGATTGAACTGCATTATATGATCAGTGTAGATTTAAATAATGCATCTCAATGCAGTTAAAATGCATTATATGAGTCTACACTGATCATATAATGCTGTTTGAGCTGCATTAAATGATCAGTGTAGGTGGAGCCTCATATAGTGTAATTTAACTTAATTGAACTGCATTAGATGAGTCTACGTTGACCATATAATGCAGGTTGACTGCATTATATGGCAGTATAGATGGGGCATAAGTTCTTAGGCTCAGAAATATGAATGCCACTAATATCAACTGTAATAATTCAAAGTGTATGTTATTTTTTAACTTACAGGATATTCAGGCATTGGAAGAATTTAGAGAAAAAAATCAGAGGCAACAGAAGCTATGGGTTGGCAGGTTTCTCCTCTATTCATCTATTCTCTATCTGCTTTCCTGCATAATTATATATTTTTGGTACCTCCCCGATGAGTGGACTGCGAGGTTCGTCATGACACTCCCTCTTTTTGCATTTCCATTGATGTAAGTAAAAGATGCATTCTTCATAATTTTCACTTGGGCTGTTTTTGGAAAGGCAATGTAGAATGAGTTGTAGTCGGTTGGGTAGGTGCATCTGATAGTGCCAGAGTTTATAAAAGAAATTCCCTGCTGGTGGGACTTACAGCTTATCTGGTCCATTATGTGGATTCTCACAGATCCCCATGTAATACCTGCAAGGTTACGAGATCAAGAAGCTCTCCTGTCCTTGATTTTTCTTTCTCTTGGGGTGCATCTAAAATACAAATTTACACCATTTTCACTGCCCTGGCTCGATGCTATGGAATCCTGGGAGTCGTAGTTTTCCATGTTCTTTTAAACTTTGCCAAAGGATTCTGGTGCCTCACCAAACTACAAATCTCATGATTCCATAGTTTTGAGCCATAGCCATTAAAGCGATGACAAACTGCATTATTTTACAGTATAGATGTAGCTTTTCTAACTACTAATTCAGATGCATATTCCTTTTGATCCTGGAAATAATACATAGCATTATAACTATAGTGGCTATTTATATTCTTCATCTTGTATGGATCTAACTGATTCCCTTTTATGAGCAATCTAAGTTGGTGGCCATAACTGAACCTCACAGTGGATAACTCCACTGTACGTGGTGGACAAGTATATCTACCCTACATGGTGTAGAAGTATATAATTTTATCTGTCCTGAATTTCCCACCATTCAGATTCATTGGACGACTCAAGAGTCTGTTGTTATGAGAAATGGAGGATGTGGGAATTCTGTCTCTACATTTCTTGCATACTGTGCATATTTTGGTATACATCCATCCTATCTTTTCCTTATTTGCTTTCTCATCCACTGAACTGAATAGCCCTAAAGTGTTGCAAATTTTCCCTGTAGAGAAATTTCTTCAACCCTCTTATAATTTTGGTTGACCTTTTCCAGTTTTTGAGGGATAGGGGCCACAGTTACACAATGTTTTTAAACCTGGCAGGTTATAACTGTGATGCAAGGAATATTGGTGGACCAATGGAGAGGGTGCAGGGCTAAACAGTGGACTGCAAGGAGTGGGCTGAGCATGAGGCAAAGAGGATAAGATATCAAATGAGATAGGTCAGTCTTCAAGAGAAAAACTGAGTGAGAAAATGCAGATCTATAGTAAGAGTGAATGGTAATAATAGCAGTTTTCTTGTTTTGTGAGAGGAAGAGTGAATGGAAAATAGTTGTCAATGCAAAGATAGCAGTGTGGGAGAGTGTGTGAGGGGGAGGATCTTGTCTCTTTCCAACATTTTAGTCCCTTTTCTGCCCACATACAGACATGAATAGCCAGTCACTGCCTGACCATGGTTACCTTTGATCAAGAGGTGAATCTACACTAAATAATTGGAGTGACCAATTATATACTTTAGAAATTTTTCAACCTTAAACAAAGTAAATAATGACTATCTTTCCCAGTTTGAATTGTCCTGTAGAAAATTGCTACTTTAGGTTATTCTCCAAGGATTTGATAGTTTCTGATGCTGGCAAAGTGAGCAGGCTTCCAGGAAGCTTGCCTAACTGGATGCATGCATTTAAATTGCTGCTTGAAGACTTGAGAAAATAGGGGCATGTGAGATGGTTTCATTTCTGAAATCCAAAGCATTCTAGAGGGAAGTTATTCAAAGAACTGTCTTGAAACCTTTAAAAATGTACAGAATTGCCAAACATGAATAAATGGCTGAAAGAAAAGTCTTCGTTTTTGAGTTTGCATACTAAGGGTACAATATATCATTGAAATTTTAAAACTTGCCTGATCTACTGGTTATTTTGAAAAGGTCTGTAAAATATGCAACAACCAAAAATATTTATGTTTCTGAATGTACAGTAAGTCACCAAGACAAGATTTTTTTCCTTGATTCGTATCTTTCATATTTTACAAAAATTGGTTTGCAATTCACAAAATGAAATTGCTTTTAAAAGTGTTGATCTAATATGATTAAACAGTCTTTCCGTATTGTGTCAAGGCCAAAAAAGGAGTTGTTTTGAAATGATGAAAAGTTTATTGAAGCAATTGATGCTGCTATTCTGTTCATAGTTGTACTGCGATCAACTGACGTGCTACAAATGTGGGATGAATTGAGTATGTGTCTTGTCATTTATTTCACTACAAACGAAATTTGCAACTGAAAACAAATCTAGAATAAGGCAACAAGTCTGCTAGAAAGCTTTTGCCTGCATTTCAATGGGTAATTGTGTGATGTATGAATAAAAGAAGGGGATAAAAGGCAGAGGTTGAAGGATTAGATCATTGTGGAGATCTCCTCATAAATTGTTACTGTGTACAGTTATGGAAGACAACTATTTTAATTTGTTTTTGTTGTATTCATTCATATCCTACCTTTCTCCTAATAGTGAGACTCAAGATGGCTAAATGACATATTAAAAAGCAATACAGATTTTTTTTTTGGTCGTGTCAGGAGCGACTTGAGAAACTGCAGGTCGCTTCTGGTGTGAGAGAATTGGCCGTCTGCAAGGACGTTGCCCAGGAGACGTCTGGATGATTTGATGTTTTTATCATCCTTGTGGGAGGCTTCTCTCATGTCAGATTAAAATCATTCCAAAATATCCATAAACGTATACATGTAAAAGTTATTTTAAGAGACAATTACACAGTCGATGAAGTTAAAAACATTAAAATCATTAAAATCTGTACATATGCTATAAAACAGTACAACACACATTAAAAGTCCATCCCAGTGAGTTTCTAAAAGCTTGAAGGCATAAGAATATTTTAACTTGACAGGAGGAAGAGCAATCTTGACCTTGTTACATAGAGGGTCCCAATTCTTGGAGTGCCTAATGAGGCAGATATTTCAACAGGACCGTAGGAAGTTGTACTGATTTTCTATTAGTAATTTTATAAAACTTCTTTTGGAACATTCTGTGATATTGTGGATCCCACAATTTTGATATCTTTGGAAAATATATATTATTAAAAAGGCTGATAGAGATAACCAATCTGGATGGAGTGGACCATCAATCATTTTACTTGCAGCTCTAGTCAACACAAGCTAGCATAGCCAGTAGTGACAAATAGTGTAAGGTGTGGTCCCCTGCTCTAGAAATAAAGGATGTGAAGGGACACTAGGTCTGCTTTTCATAGGATCTGGAAAAGCACTTCTTAATTACAGGTTGAGTATCCCCTATCTAGAATTCCAAAATCTGAAAATGTCCATATGGATGGCTGGAATAGCAACACTTTTGCTTTCTTATGATTGTTTGTAAGCAAGCTTTGTTTCATGCACAAATTATTAAAAATATTGTAGATAAATCTGCTTTCAGTGTATGCATATAGGACTTTGAAGCTATGTGTTCTACCTGCAAGCTGTCTCATTATCCAAATATTAAGTATTCCAAATCTGAAAGAAAACAGAAATCCAAAACACTTCTAAACCCAAACATTTTGAATAAGGGATACTCAACCTTAGATAGGCTTCGGTAACATGACAAGCTGTCCAAGTAAGCTGTGGGGTTCTGTTTGGGGAAAATTATCTGTCTGTCAGTCAGTGTATCCAAAAACTTTTGAGGCACTACAATAGCAGCATATATGTTCTTACCCTCCTTGGTTTTTCTGTGGTTTCCTTTCACTTCCACTTATCCCCATGCTTAGAAAAAAATGGGGAGTGTTTGCAGGTATAAACTCTTTATGCTCAAATCCTCCTTAGAGAACATTTCTACTGTTTTTTGTTAGGACCTCTGATTCAATCTGAGGCAGACAATAGGAATAACAAGGAATTAGTCTTCAGGCTAGCATGCTAGCATCTTTCTTTTCCATTAGCTTTCCATTAGCTCTTTGGTTCAAGGTAGGTGTTTGAACAAGCTGTTTTATATAGGAAAGTACATCTGACATGGCCCCCATCCTCCAATACTAAGAGCCCTTGTACAGGTTTGCTTAATTTGTGTAGATATGTAGGTGTGGGTGGTGGTGGATTAAGTTGGAAAGGAAATTGCATGCCTCCCCAGATGTTGCGGAGGAAGGCTGGGAGGTGCAGTTCAATAACATTTAGAGAACATTATAACTTCCATTCATAGATCAGATGACTGGATCTTGGTTTTTATCTGGCGATCTGTGTACGTCACACTCATTATTTTGCAGTCTTGATGTTTTTTTCTTAAAGCAATTCAGCTATTGTCTGTGCAGCAGTATTTTTAGTGCTAGTTCCTTAGGGAGACTAGACTAAATTGTGAAATTAATTAGCAATGTTAAGATATTGAAGAATGACACTAACATCCAGTTTACTCTTGTCTAAATGTTAACATTAGAAATTCTTTCTTTCCCTCCATCTCCCCAGAATTTGGTCTATAAGAACACTCCTCATCTTCGTCTTTTCTAAAAGAACAGAACGAAACAGTAAGTACAATTTTCTTAGATCTTTTGTGGATACTGTAAATCTAAGAATGAGAGTGTGTAGATGACACTGACACTTGCCTTGTGTCAAACATCTTGCAAATGGGAGGCTTTATGGCTTACGTTCTGTAAGATGTGAAGGAGGCTACTCAGCCTTATATTCAGCTATAAAATGGAAAACGGATATAAAATGTGGAGATGGGTAGATTAATTGTTAGGTACTTAAATGTGTCTGAAAGCTGAACACTAAAGTGATTATAGGATAAAAGAATATTCAGATAACTTTTTATTATATAACAAGTTAAGTGTGATTATAGCTCATTTATATTTTGATAAATGCATTGCATTTTAGATACTCCTATGTTTTATGTCCCACATAGTTCAGATATCATTGCAGTCAAAGAAGTTTGCATTATTTTAAGTTATACAGTGTGGATGGTCGGTTGACAGCCCTGGGGTAGCAGCATACCTTGAGGGCCCTGGTTCAGTTTTTCCAGTGGCTTTCTGGAGTTCTCCCTCCTCTGTTATTCAAAGACAGAATGTGTGGCATTAGTATCTCACAGTCCCAGAACTTCTGATTTATGCAAAATGAAGATCCAAAGACAAGATTCTTTAGGAAACGAGGCAAGCAAGCTACATGTTCAATGCACATGTGCCCTTTCTGGCTTATTATAGTTGCCAGCATAGAGTTGACCATGGACAGGAAAGTATGAAAGCTGGCCATTGTCAAAGAGGCAAGATTCTTTTAAAGTATACTATTACTGGATCCTAGTCAAATTATGGAATCATTTCAAGTATCTTAGTTTTGTGATTAGGCATGTTGTCCTAGTTCAATTGCTGGTATAGAGAAATGGAATTCAGTTGACCTTCTGCATCCATGGATTCAACCAGCCATGGCTCAAACTATTTGGAAATAAATTACAAAAAGCAAACCTTGATTTTTCTGTGCACTGAGTGCAGAGTTGTAGTCCAACACACAAATCATTACACCACCTTGACTTTCCAACCTCACTTTGTGCAGTTTAGCATCTTGCATATAGCTGGTTATTTAGATATTTTACATCAAGTTCGGTCTATATGTAATTGATACCTAACACATCTGATACTGAAACTTGTGGTATACAATGATGATGTAGTGAAGTTGCTATGTTTTAAAAGTTAAAAAATTGATGGAGGACAATGTCCTCTGTGGCTGGCTACTGCCTAGATATGTTCACTATGGAGGTAGCATGCCTCTCAGATTCATTTGCAAATGAATGGGTGCATCTACTCTCATACCTTGATTGTGGGCTTCCCTTGGCATCTAGTTGGCCACTGGAGGAAGGGAATTCGAATTTTGTGGAATTTTGGTCCTTTTTAAGTCACTAGGTTCTCTGAGCCCACCAACTATCTCATCTTAATTAGTTCACAATTGGGCTTAGATAATTTTTGAATGGAGAAAATTCCAAAGATTTCAGGGAAATTAGACTAGGAAAATATCCTGCCTGTAATCATTGAGATCTGCTGCCTCTCAGAGTCCATGGTAGTAATTCTGATGAATGAAAAGTCTTGTAAGATGCTTTCTGTTCTGGTGTGGATGAAGAAAACAATGCTTTATCTAAACAGAATAAACATACTCTGAACTGGAATTTTTCCAGTCTGGGATTGGGTATTCAGCCTCTTGATCATGAGGCACTACTCACAATCAATGAGGTTTGTAGGATGAGGAATATATGTGACAGAAGGGTTTTTTTGGAATGTGAAATATCCTCCCAAGAGGCAAGCACTCCTCTTCCTCACAATCTGCTATCCTTGCAGCAGTACTAGTCAGATTTTAACCCTCTTTCCAACCAATCAGTTTTCTTTCCCACTCCTATTCCTCCCAATCCTCTTCTTTCCTTCCAGACTTCAAATCATGCTGCCTTGCATGATTTGAAAACTCCTGTGAACCCCTTGGTCTCCACATTGCACTTCACTCCTCTCCATCTATCCTTTCAACAGTACCTTCCAACAGAGGTTGATGAGTTGGTAAGAGATTTAAATCTTGTCTGAGGAGACATAACGTTGAGAATAGAGGATTAGTAGGAAGAGGATTGAGGAGATTGGTGGGTTGGAAAAGAGTTTAAAATCTTGGAATATAGAAGAGAATTAGGAAGAAGAGCAGGTGAGCGAGAAACTCAATGAGTTGGAAAAGAATTACACCTTATTGGTTGTTTTGGAAGGACAGGAGAGGATTGGGGAGAAAAGGAGTGGACATTCCTTTCCGATGGGTTGGGAAGGAATTTAAAATTTGACTGGGTATTTTGGAAAACCAGGAGAGGAATTGGAAGAAGAGGATTGGAGCAAAGAAATTGATGGGCTGGAAAGTGGTTTTAAAATCCAGCCGGCACTGTTGGAAGTGACATCAGATTGAAAGGCAAGGAGATTTTTTTTAGCGGTAGCTACAAATAATGAAATCTATGAAACACAAATCACAAGTGTGGAGGACCAACTATACAGTTTAACTGTACATTTTGCAGCTCTCTGGATATATAAATTTTTTTGAAGTTGAGCAGAGCCTGGAATTTGCAGAGACCACCTCAGTTTGGCCTGTTGAAGATTTCCATCCCTTTAGTTTAGCATTCTTCCTTGCTCATTTTAAGAGGGCAGATTAAATCATCACAGGCTGTCTTTTATTTTGGATGCAAATCTACCCTGAGTGGATGGTTTACTATAAAGGGGAACTTGAATTCATGTTTTGAAAGCTGTTTCTTGCAATTTATCCTTCATGCTGGTGATTAATAGTCAGAATGTTATAAATCTTAAAAAGGAAGTTTTGATTCACTAATCCCTTCCTCCCAAGTCATTGGAAGCAGTGTATATTGGGGTATCACTTCTGTCCTTACTGTAGCCAAATAAGATAGGGATTTACCTAAGCTGACCTAGTGAGTTTCCTCAAGTTGACCTAGTACATTTCTTGACAAAGTGGAGTGTAACTTTCCAGTTCCTTCACTGACTAATCACTGTACTACATTAATTCACTCTGTTTCTAACCAGTCCATTGCCTTTAAATACTCTCTAACAAATTGTACTTATTCAATAGGTTGAATAATGCGATGCCTCTGGCATAAACATGGTATGCAAGAAGGTTTCCTTCTCCTCAAACAATGTTAATAAACAATTTAGCTTTTAAGTAGTACAATTTGTGTTCTAGGCCTTTTACAGATGTGATACAAGCCCTTCCCATCTGACGTGCTTATAATAGAACTGATATTGCTATTTTGGCAATGGCTTCCTTTATTAAAGTAGTCTAAAATTTAAAACCAATTGCACTGACTTCATGAAAGATCTGAGATTTAAAAATTACACTCCAAATTTCTTTCCTTTCCAAGAGGTTGAGCTAAGATGCGATGACACTTTTATATAACATAATAGTGCCCCTTTTCTTGCGCTATAATGGAATGACTTTCTGACTAGAAGTCATTTCTTGAATAAAGCAAGATTTATGAACCCACAAGCCTTACAAGATTGAATCTCTGATAACACTTGCTAATTTGGGGATTGATTTTTAACACTTTAAAGCTTAGAGCATTGTTTAAATTTAGCTTAATACATTTTTTATGAAGTGTCATGTCTGTATCAGCAACTTCACCTCATTTTTTTTGCCTTGTCCGTTGAAACTCTTACAATAGGTCAAACAATTTTAATTCTAATAGCAGCTTGATTGATAAAGTGTTGCATAAAATTTTTTGGGGGCCCTCATAATTCATTACACTTGGTTGCAATAAAATGGTAAGTTGATTGTGAAAGGTAATGGGTCTTACAGAAGTCTCTCATTAATTAGCCAAAAGACAGAGATATAGTTAATGTTCTATTGAAACTTTGACCAATATCCCGTATTCAAAGGCTCAGTGTGGATGTTTTATCATCAGTGTATATTAGATATATGTGACTTTTTACATTAATTTAAATCTTTTTTAGATGATGCCTTGGAAGACCTAAAATCCCAGAAGAAAAAAATAGTAAGTGCATATTTTATTTATATATTTCATCAACATTTACTTTGGATACAATGACCTTGTCATGTCATACTGTTTGAGCACTATTTGATTATTCCATTTACATTATATTCCCCAGCAAGACTAGCTAGGCATAGTATTATGAGGAAGTGATGACAGGGTTTATTTATTATGACAGTAAGTCTTGGAATATAACTGCTAGACCCCAAGCTTCACTTGAAATAAGTTATTAAATTAATTTTATTTTTGTGTTAATCCTCAATCAAAAAATGCCTTAAAAAGTACACGTTAAAACCTCCAGTTTAAAATGACACATCATAAAAGGGGGAAAGGGAGGGAAGAGAAAAGAGAAAAATGTTTTTTTTCTGCAGGAAGGCCATGTTTCTTATGGCATCTCCCCCACTTGCTGGCATGACTGCCACCATCGATAGTTTTGGTTTCTAAGGAAACTTCCTAAAAGTGGTTTCAGTTCAACTTTAGTGCATTAGTAGCCTAGCCCTTGCCTTCAACAGTGGTCTGTATGTACAAAAATACAGAACATAAGGTTTTATGTTCTCTACAATGAGGGTAAGGAATTATTAATACATTTCAGACAGTTCCAGAAAGGTTGGCAGGGTGTCTGAATCCAAATGTTAGTGATCATTTAATTTTTTTCTTCTCCTAAGATCAATTTCTTCTCTAATTTTTTTATATCACAGTATTGTATGGCATAGGTTAGCTGGAGGAGAAGTAACACATAACTTTATCGATACAGGCATTTTGCTGACACCAGAATTTGCTCTTTAGCCTTTGTATACAGCTGGATTCACAGATGTATTGGCCAAAGTATTCTTAATATTCACATTTGCTTTTATAGCATTCAGGTTAATTGGCAAGGAATACCATTCCATTAAGATCATTATGCAATTTTATACAGTATTTTTTTAAAAGGCAGGATATGTGAACATGACTGAGTAATGTGAACATAGGTAGAATAAAGGATAGAAAGTAAAAGTTTATGGTCAAATAGAAACTTAAACTTAGCATAGCAAAATAGCACAGAAAAATTAATAGACACTGGTGAATCTAATGTAGAAATTAGGGTTACAATTGCCAAATAGTGTCAGTCCTCAGTTGAGCCCTAACAAGGTTTCATCTGTCCAAAAATGGTTCACAGCTTATGTTTTTTTGTGTCATAGCCTTACCTCTTTGTAGCTAGTCTAATAAAGAATAAAGCAATAGTGAGAATTCATGGATGTAGTATAACTGTTCAGAAATCATGAAAGTTGTGTGAAAGCATACAAGTGTGTTTTTTGCAGGAGGGAGCAATTGTAAAGGAGAGAGCAAATTGGAAAAATTCATGTGCTACTGCGTGAATGTATTTTTTCCTTGCTTAACTGAATTTATTTTTGAAAAGAAATATGAAGCTGAAGTTTAAGGTATCAATAGAGCTTAACAAAACTACTGTGCTGTTAGTGTAACTGTTAATTAAACAGTTTAGATGCCGTGCCCATATAGCTATACAGTGAGCCTATAATGCTGTAGACAGAATTTGCAGTTTTTTTTAAATGGTGGCATTAGATGCGTATCAGCAATATCCGATTATTAAAGGGTATGCATTAATACAAGCAAACATGCATACCAAATAGTAGGGAAATCTTCCTCTTGCTTTAACATACCTGCATCACATTCAAGTAAATTTTGAGTTCCTGTGCTATTTAAGCTACCAAAGAGAGGAGGATTTTGATAGTGGTACTCTGGAACTGTTTTGCCTGGTTGCATGTACTTGGTGCTTTTTAAATATTAAAATCCATGCAAAAATCCCGGCTTTGGCAGAGCTTTTACGAAGACTTAGAAATGTCTTTTTAATGCTGCCTTTAGACATGCCTTTTACCATTGCTGTATGTTATGTGTCAGGCCAAATGGATACTGCAGGGAGAATGAGAATACCCCTAAATAACAATCAGATGCTGTGAATTTGTTATTGAACTGTAAGTTCATAATATGTTATAAGAGTATGTCGAGTGAGGTGCATATTTCCTGACCAGATGTGTCCCCTGAAAGGTCCCATTATAAAAATAGATTAAATAATAAATTTATGAATTAAGGAACCACTGTAGCAAGGCTTGCTTTGTTGATATTTGTGGGGTAAGACTGTAAAAACCAGCTTGAGGACAGTTTAACTGTTTCTACAGAGAGTGGAATGTGTTCCCAAGAGCTGCCAGTCTGATTTCCCCACATCTTGTCATAGAGCAGTGGCTCTCATCCTGTGGGTCCCCAGGTGTTTTGGCTTACAACTTCCAGAAATTCCAGCCAGTTTACCAGTTGTTAGGATTACTGGGAGTTGAAGGCCAGAACATCTGGGGACTCACAGGTTGAGAACCACTGCCATAGAGGAAATGGAAACCTTTAATTTGTCATTTCCTTCCACATCTCTTATGGCTTGTGGAAGGCCATAAGTGCTGATCTCAGGAAGTGGGCAAGTTCATAATGGGAAAACCCTTCTGTTAAGTATTGGGCTCCTGACCAGTACAGATGGATTATGGCAAGTGTCTAATATAAGTAATGTGATGTAATGGATTGAGCATTGGATGAGGACTCTGGAGACCAGGATTCGATTTCCTGCTCAGCCATAAAAACCCACCGGATGACTTTGGGTTAGTCATATACTCTCAGCCCCAGAAAATCCCATTATAGGTTAACCTAAGGGTCAAGTTGAAAATACCTTGAAAGCCCATAGCAACACCAAATTTGAGACATTACTTTTAGCTTCATGATGGAATCCCCAGAGAAACAGGCAGAGCTGGCACATATATATGGATCAGTCCCTGGAAGAGGCTGAGCATAGAGTCACATTGGAGGATGTAGAGGGTCCTAAAGAGAACACATTAATCAAATTGTGAATATTCAAATCCACAAAAATGAAACCTGTAAAGCATTTTCAGTCAGATAACACAGAATCTGGGAAATACCTTGAAAGAATAGGAACTGTGAGGAACATTCTACATCCATAGAGGTTCAGGTCCTTAACCAAGGATATATATACCTCTCCACATGCAGCTAGGAACAGCAGAGTGGGAAGAAGATGATAATAGTTTCCTAACAGCTACTTTATACTCTGCAAGATATCTAAGGCAGGGCTCAGAGAAATAAGTTTTGTGGGAACATGCAAAACACACTGTAAAAACGGGTTAGGTGAACTTCATTAGGTGAGCAGTTTTTGTGATTCTGATCGTATTGACTGAGAAATCTGAAAGGAATGCGGTGTGTTGTGTGGGTTGACTTGTTCTTGTATGGCCTTTTAAACGTATTAGAGAAAACAATTAGTTTAGTCTTTTGATAAGGAGCTTTGAAAGGGCAAAAATGTTTTGTGGAAATGTTCTTAGCAACTTAGCAGGATGAGGATAAGCTAAAAAGGTCAAGGGAAATACTGTTTTTGAGCCAATGAATTTTCTTGACCTTTCTTGTGTAGGTTTAAGTTTCCAGAAACATATCTTCCACATGCTAGTTACTCGAAGAAAAGATCTTCTTCTGTATGTAAATGTTGTACCATGGCTTTGGCACAGAGACTGTTAAGTTCAGCATCAAATTGTGTTCAGTGATCTTCACCATCCCTTCCATTAGGAGTATGTGCCATGTAGATGATCATTCTTTTCGGCTAGCCTCCTTCTTCATTCTGTACTGTCAAAACTATTAATGACAGCCATTCAAGGATGTCAAATGTATAGTCAGTGCAAGCTCAGTCCCCACACTAGTTGGTCTGAGATTTGCAGTCATTGAATTTCAACTCGAATTGCAAGAGGAGAGACGCAGTTTTTAGCAATTTCTCCACCTCCACTCTCTGGAGAAAAAAAATCCCTGCCTTTTCTTTTTAGGAATAAGGTGTGTGTAGAGTCTTGAACCTTTAAATTTGAATTGGAAGTACAACTGTACCTTAGATCAAGGCTATACGGCATGTGTCCTCTCTGTGCCTTGTTCTATATAACAGTGTGTGTTTTTGCTGCCAAAATCTAGCATGGCTGAAATTTGGGGTGGGGATGAGGAATGAAGCTTTTTTTTGCCACTGCTAAATAGAGTTAATGAGCCAACATGTTGTAGTGGTTTGGAGATTGAACTATGACTCTGGAGACCAGGGTTCAGATTTCCAGGAATGGAAACCCACTAGTTGACTTTAGGCAAGTCACAGCTCCCTCAGTCTCAAAGGAAGGTATGGGTAAACACTTTCTGAACATATCTTGACAAAACCTCCATGACAGAACCACCTTGGATCACCATAATCCAGAAACCGCCTGAATGTTTAAAACCACAGCAAAGAACAGAGCTCCTGTTGAATTGGAGATATCCAGGGTCCATTTTCCCCATTCATGGAAATTCTGGTCTCCGGAATTGGGAAGTTTTCCCTAGATATTGCTCCTTTCCATGAAGAAACCCTTAAAATGAATTCATTATAAACTAAACTGTTAGTTGAGGAGTAACTGGCTAGATTTTATTTTGATGCATTTCTAAACTACAGTAAGAAAACCATTTGCATCAACAAGAGAGTTAGTTAAGAAATTAAGAATACTGTACACACCATTTTATTACGAATTCTCACCCACTCACCAGGCTTGTTCAGTTTTGACAATAGTGTGTATCTTACACAGCTTTTGACCAAGATCACATTAACCAGAGTTAGCTTTTAGTTTGAAATTAGGCCATGAAGTTGGTTTGGAACAACATTTAAAGCCACCTTGGAATTCTGTTTTTGCAGTCGTAATAGTAAACAACTGACTTCATATGACTTTTAAGGTCTCTCTGGGAATATGAAAGTTTTGTCAGTCTATTTATCATTTAGATAGTGGCTATAGCCATAATTCTCTGTTGGACTACAATGAAGTAGAAACTAACTTAAACTGCACACTTCTGTTTTGAGCTTTAACTGAGAACATCATTGCCAGTTAGTGCAGTTCAGTATAGAAGGAGAGACAGAAGTGAGAATCCATATCCTTGTTTCACCTCTAACTTGCAAAGGCAGTTCAGCTATTGAGAGGAATGCATTAAACTCTGCATACTGATACTCATAAAATCACCCTTCTTGCTGTATCTACTTTTACCTCTCAACAGTTGTGGGAGAGGTAGAGAGCCTTTTGTCCCCATGTGGTTTGCCATTATGTTTTCAGTTTAGAGTGACTTTTTTCACGGGGTTTGCATGTTACCTCCCATGATCTGTCCTCATTGCTTATGCTGGCTAGGTCTGAAAAGTAATCTAAAACATTTGGGAGCACTACTTTGCAAAGGCTTGTTTATGCTACCAGTGTGGATTTTCTGGGTCCAGTGATTTGTATTCTTTTGTATTCTTGTATTCTTGGGCAGTGTAAATTGGCTTTCAGTTCATTGGAGGGGCTTCACTGTTATAGATCATAATATACTTTGTAATAATTTAATATTTGCCATCTAAACATTCTGCCAGCCTAATCATTTTTCTCCCGTTTTCTAGTGGCAGATACTAACGTATATGTGGTGTAGGATGCAGTTGTTTGCGACTACCCTAGCAGTATAGGGTATATTGACTTTTCCATATACAATACAAAGGTTTTTACAATTTTACATTTCACAAATATGCCATTTCATAACATTTAATATGAGAGCTAAGTTATGAATGAAGCATTTTATGTTAGTGAGGCAGTGAGACAAGTTTAGGTTTGATCTGAAAATAAATATTGCACATAATTCATTCCCTTTCCCCCGGATTTCTTCTTTCCCGGAAAAAGGGAAATACACTTCCCGCTCTTAAATTCAAAACATCTAGAAGCGGTGTATCTGTAGTTGGGGCCCCCGTGGTTTTCCAGGTGCTGGAGGCCACCAACCACAATCTCTGACAATTGCTGTGTTGTCTGGGGCTAATGAGATACAATAAGACCTAGAGAAACATAAATGTTTAGCCCCAACTCAAAAGTGTAAAACAAAGCTTGGGTTTATGGATTGCGTATGGACCTCAAGGCTGTTTTTGCAACTCCCAAACATCTTGTGGACCCTCCTTGATGCCAAATTGTATGTTGCTACTAGAAAAAAGGATTTTCTGAAAGTACACTATATCTCTTTTCTTGCCACCTTTTGAAACCATACAAAAGATGGCAGAACTTGAAAACACCTAAGCATTTTATTTCTTGGATGGTCAAATATTGCTAAGATTTATTGTACAGGAATTTTGGTTAGTTAATCTAAAGCATTTATAAAAAATCTGTTTGTTCCTCAACACAGTATTTTGGTCCTAACAAGGAGATGAAATCCTTTTTACATTGTATTGTTGAAGGCTTTCATGGCCGGAATCCATGGGTTGTTGTAGGTTTTTCCGGGCTATATGGCCATGTTCTGGAGGCAATTTTTCTCCTGACGTTTCGCCTGCATCTATGGCAAGCATCCTCAGAGGTAATGAGGTCTGTTGGAACCAGGAAAAATTGGTTTATATATCTGCAATTTGCTCACAATTACCTGGGTATCACTTATAGTATACATTAGCAACACCTGAAAAGCAGCATTGTGTACAGATTGCCTATCAATGCTCCCATGATATGGACTTTCAGACGTTTTTAAGAAGTGGGGATCTCAATCGAAAATTTGCTTCACAATTTTATTTGGGGGATTTAGATGTCTCCAGTTTTGCTTGTAGTTTGGAAATCCTCCTCAAATAGTTATTGACATCATGTGTTAGCGGTCGAAGTGGTGTTTGGTTTCTCCTACTGAATGAGGTGTATTAATACATACATTTTGCATCTGTGGGTGATGCAACTTTAAGGTATGTTGTTCCTGTTTAGTATGCAGATGAAACACAACAGATTGAGTTATTTCACACATTAGGAAAGAATTACTAAACAGCTGCCTCCTCCAATATTGTGCTCTTATGCACACTTTTAAACTCAAACCATCATGGCCAGTGGCTAGGGATGATGGGAAATGCACTACAAATAATCTGGCACGGGCTCTGTTAGACAGGTTGGCTTCTAGTGCTTCCTATGCACACAGAACACAAGGAGGAGGGAAATAAAACCAAGTTTCTCAACTGTAATTGTTAAGCAATGTGTGTGGGCGCACATTTGAAAGTGTGTGTGTGTGTGTTGGGGGGGGGGCTGTATTAATGGGAGCTGAGAAACTTAACAGTGAGAAGAACCTGAAGAGAGGGACCCATCAAAATGCACTGTGTATTATATTCCTTGTACATATTAGTCATCTGTCATAACTTCAGAACCCAAATTTTCATAGTTAAACTTCTTCTGATGCTGGCTATTAACTGCTAAAATGATATTTTACTAAGTGATTACTTTTTTAATTAAGCCCATGTATTAGCTATAAAGCCACTTGAGTGCATTGTAAATAAAATGCTATAATAATGAAGTGCTTTAATTACAATCCCGAAAGTATGCATGGTACTCCGTAAATTTTTTTATTTAAATTCTCAACATGTTCTATTTTTTTCCCTGAAAGGCAGTTTGACTCTAGCCATAAAGCCCGGAGCTTTATCATTTAAAGTCATTTGAGCAAATTCCATGGCTGTTCTCCCAGTTAGTGAGTTTTCATGGCATTTGCAGCAAGCTAATTGCTTCTGCTAATAAATAATCTAAAATCAATGCTGACAGCAGTTAATTGGCACAGAGACTTTATTCTGTAAAGCACTTGGCTAACGACCTTCTTTAAATTAATAGCATTAAGTGCTATGAGGAAATAAATCTGAGGAATTGCCTGTCATTTGCTTGTCATGTCTAATAACTTCCAATAATGATGGCTGATAGATTTTTGCACATTCTATTATTGAAGTTGGTGCATGTAATTATTCTCCTCATTATATGTAAACAATTAGCAATATTTGGTGTTTCCTTGCAGTAAAGCTGTTCAGTACAACTAGTGCGTTAGCGGGTAGGAATGATTTTTTTAAAAGTTAGATTTCATTTTCATTGCAAACAGCAACAGTAATGTACTGTGTGTAGTTATTCCAATATTTCTTTATCTCAGTTTATGCTGATAAAAAGGCATTGAAATTAAACTCTATTTTGGTATATCTTGACCAATAAAACTTTTTTATTTTAGCTTGAAGAAGTAATGGAAAAAGAAACATATAAGGCTGCTAAGCTAATCCTTGAAAGGTTTGATCCAGAAGCCAAGAAAGCAAAGGTAGGAACTGATCTCTGTACTGATTTACTCCAAAGCACACCATAGAGCAAAACACTTTATAATATTATTATAATTGACAGGATGCTGAACCGCCATCTGCTGGAGCATCTGCAGTTGCAAGACCTGGCCAAGGTAATAACTCTGTGAAACTGCTGCTTTTCATGAGGAAAAATTGTATTTACACCATTTAATTTTCATTCCATGAGGTTTTGAATATTTAAGAACGCAAGACGAACATAAATGGGATCTGTGTTCCTTAACAGGCATTTAATTTAGGACAGATGATGGCATGATCCGACCTGAAATATATTATTTAGTTGTAGACCAGTTACTTGGCACATTAGGACATTTTTTCTTAGCAAATTCATAGAATCAGTAATCATTTGTCGAGAATGAAAGGTGTATATTTATTAGTACCAACAGTAGCTTAATAAGAGAGAAGATTGTATGTGTGAAGCATCCGTAGATGTGGTAGGCAGAAAGCTTTAAAGCTTTGTACAGCTTATGCTGGTTGTGGGACCTGGGGTTGAAGCAACCCAACAACAGCAGCAATTAACAGGTTTGCTGTAGGTATAGACCCCTAACCGGTTGTCCCCAGCAAAAGGGAGAGTATAAGCTCTCCCAAAAGCCTGACATTCCTAAGTCCATGAAAGAATATTCAATATTTCTCCTTTCAAAGAGGAGACACGGTGAGCTTCTCAATTGACTCAAGGCAGAGGTGGAAAGTCTTTGGCCCTCCAGCCTTGGCCCTCCAGCGGGACTCCCACTTCTTTCTCATTTACCATTTTCTCTGGGACTCTTGAAAGGTGAGGCTGAAAATGTAAGCTTGTTTTCTTCTCTCCAGAAACCATCTGGATTCTTACTGTAAGAAAAGAGATTCCATCTAAACATTAGGAAATAAAATTATGACAGGAAAAACTGTTTGACAGGGGGATGTGCTTCACTGGAGTGTATTGGAGTCTCCTTCTCTAGGGGTTTTGAAACAGAGACTGGATGTCCATCTGTCTGGAGTGTCTTGATTGTGTATTCTTGCATTGCCAAATGGGGTAGGGCTGGATGGTCCTTGGGAGTCTCTTTCATCTCTGTGAATCTACAATGCTATGTTTGTAGGATCAAACTAGGCAAAGGGGAAAGCAAGGAACCTAGCCTGGCTCCTTCCATATTAAGACATCAGTAGCATATGGTGTGGTTGTGTATATCTAGGACCATGGCATCCAAACAAATTGTAGGCATTTATTTTTGTGTTTATGGTGGGCGTGACTGCTAAAACAGGTTTGCTAATGAGCCTGCTAAGAAAGGCGGTATGGTGGTGTGGTTTGAGTGTTGGGTTAGAAGTCCAGGGGACCAGATTTCAAATCTCCATTCAGCCATGAGACCCACTGGATGACCTTGGGGAGCCTAAGAAGAACAAAATGCAAAAAAAAAAAAAACCAAAAAAAAAAACAGATAAAACCACATTTAAAAAAACTATGGATAAAACTGTATTAAATTGTCTATAGATTTAAAAGCAGGCTTCTTCCCCATCATCCTATAGCTAGCTACATCTCTGACTATGGGCCATGCTGGTCCAGGCAGATGGGAATTGGAATTTAACAAAACACAATCCCTGGGCTGTGCCTATATGATCATCTATGTCTCTGGCAAAAGAAAAAAGCCAAGATTAAATAGCAGTTTGAGTGTGGAAAAGGTAGCTGTTAGCTTTTCCCCCCCAGCCTCTGGGCTGGGAATCTGTAGCCTTCAAAGTGTTATTGGACTCCGTTTGCCACCTGTCTGAATCAGATTGGCTAATGGTCCGGGATGTAGGAAGTTGTATCTGACTACAGTTTGGAGTGCTGCTGGTTCCCCAGCTCTATGCTATGCAGTCTTGCTATTTGAAGATGATGCATAGATACTATTAATCTAAAAAATAAACAGAAATTGCTAAAATGTCTAAACCTGATATAGTGTAGCTCAAACCATCAGCTTGAATTGGGTCCTAGCAGATGTAGAAATTACTCAGGTCCCTGGAGCCTGAGCATTTCTCATGTGCCAGATTGCTGACATTTTCTTCAAAGAAATCATGTAAAAAGACCTGAAGGCTACAAAATTGAGTGATTACTGTAGGTCCAGATCTGTGAGAAAGAGAGGACCACAATCTTGCCAGCAGAGAAAATCCTAGTCATAGTGGTATACTGACATGGTTATGAATCTGAATGATTGCACAGTGCATCAGTGAGAGGTACGTGCACAAGCTTCAGGCTGGAGTCTGCCAAACAATCATTACCCTGGTCCTGATTTTCTTTCCATTGGGTCACTCCTCTGATCTGTTTCCCAGTCACAACCAGGAAAAATGACAGGATCAAGGTCAGATCAGAGCGGCACCATCAGCATATTGATAGCACCTTAAGGCCTACTTCAGTACTCATTATCTATGGCAAATTCCCACAGAGTCGAAGGCAGTTTTATGTGTGTGAGAAGGATTTAACAAGACTCCAATTCCCTTTGGGCTTGAGCCTCTCTTATGGCACACAATTCATTACTAACTAGGTGGTGGTTCTTTTTTGCACATCTTTGGAGCAGACTGCTGCTCAGTACAAATCTAGTTATGAAGCAGTGTAAGTTCCTACTGTACATTTTCCTGTTGGGAAAAGCAGTTGGGTATAGAGTAAATGCTAATGTGTTGTGAAATAATTAAAATTGTCTGCAATGGGTATAAATGGCCATGGTACTGAGTTGTCTGGGAACTATAGGAGAATGAGTGTGCCTTCCGTCCCACCTTGAACATTTTATTTATTTATTTATTTACCACATTTGTATCCTGCCCTTCTCATCCCAAAGGGGACTCGGGGTGGTTCACAGCAGAAGCACAATTCGATGCCTTGAATACATATAAAAATAAATCAACATTAACTTTAAAATCACATAATTAAAACATATCACTTAATTACTTAAACTTACACAGTCCAAAAGCATATTCCAGGAGCGATTCCAATTGTTATTGTTCATTATTGCACTGATAAATGATTGTCGCACTAGGAATCATTGTGCAAATGCTTGGGCCCACAATCAGGATTTAACTTTCTTCCTGATGGTCAGGAAAGAGGGGGCTGATTTAATTTCCCTGTGGAGGAAGTTCCAAAGTCAAGGGACCACTTCCGAGAAGGCCCTGTCTCTTGTCCCCACCAGTCGCGCCTGCGAGAGGAGTGGGATTGAGAATAGGGTCTCCCTGAACAATCTTAACATTCGAGAAGGTTCATAGGGGGAGATACATTTGGACAGGTAAGCTGGGCCAGAACTGTTTAGGGCATTATAGGCTAAAGCTTGCACTTTGAATTGTGCTCAGTAGCAGACTGACAGCCAGTGGAGCTAGCGCAACAGGAGGGATGTCCTCTCTCTTTATGCCGCTCTGGTGAGTAGGCTGGCTGCTGCCTGTTGGACTATTTGAAGCTTCCAAACAGTTTTCAAAGGCAACCCCATGTAGAGCACATGACAGTAGCCTATTCAAGATGTAACAAGAGCGTAGACTACCATGGCCATTGTGTGACAATATTGTGTGATAATGCTTGAAGAACTAATAAGTTATTTATTTATCGTATCAGAAGGTAACCAAGGATACAGTTGTAATGTATTTTAAAAACACAAAGTTTAGAAACTTAGCATTATATTAAATGTCCTTTGACCAGTAGCTGGCCACTTGGAGTGCCTCTGGTGTTGCTATAAGAAAGACCTCCATTGTGCATATGGCAGGGCTCAGGTTGCATTGTAATAGGTGGTCTGTGGTTTGCTCTCCTCCGCATGTCGTGGACTCCACTTTGTAGCCCCATTTCCTAAGGTTGGCTCTGCATCTCGTGGTGTCAGACCGTAGTCTGTTCAGCGCCTTCCAAGTCACTCAGTCTTCTGTGTGCCCAGAAGGGAGTCTGTCATTCAGTATTAGCCATGGATTGAGGTGCTGGGCTTTAGCCTGCCACTTTTTGACTCTTGCTTGCTGAGGTGTTCCTGCGAGTATCTCTGTAGATCTTAAAAAATATTTCTTGATTTAAGGCGTTGGCATGCTGGCTGATATCTGAACATTCTGTTGTGCTCTTCAGTATATTTTTCACTGTAACTTTTGTTGCATTAGTGAACTCAAAATATTGCCAGAATGTAAAACCTCTTGGTATGTTAAATGCTAAATCCACCATGTGCATGTTCTCCTAGAACTTCGCCATCGGACCCCCGTGCGAGGCAACGTATCTCCCCCTCTCCCAGGAACACCAAAGCAGGGCTCTCCGAAAGCATCAAGCCCTGCATCTCCTGGTCTGCAGAGAGAGATTTCGGCACCTGGTGGACCTCCAGAGAGAACGCCGGCCTCAGCCTCACAGCCAAATGTGCTACCCAGACATCCAGGGCCCCGTGCTACTTCAATGCCTGGAATGGGTAAACAGAGCACTTAATGTTGTTTACAGTTTATATTGTTTTCTCTGGTTACCAATAAAACAGGCCATTTTCAGACAGTATGGAAATGGCATTTTGTTTGGAAATAGAAGAGCAGTTATCTGATTAAGCAGGAGTTCCATATTCAATTAGCCATAACTCTTTACAGCTGGCACCTTATGATACTGAAACCTATTGCCTGAGCTCATTTAACCGTTATGGCTTCTTTGTTTAAATGGCAATAAAACTTTGCAGTGTTCTGTAGTCAACAATATAGCATACCTTTTTATGTTCTTGGTTTAGGCAAGCTCTAGACTTGTATAAATCAGGTACCTAAGAAAACACTTTTAGAGTACGTTCATGTTCCATTTGAAGCCCCGGACATATTTTCAACATCTAGTGTGACATTTATTTAAATGTTTATTCTAAGCAAAGAAGAAAAAAGTTTACACTGCAAAGACTGAAACATAAAATAATAAATAAATAGGCTTTTGCTATAAGATAGCAGAACTTTCCAAAGGGGCATGCTAATAAATGGTTTAGCATCCGTTATCATCTTGCTTGAAACATTTTATCCTCCCTCCCCTTTTCCATCAGCAAAAGCTACTAGCTAAACTCAGGCCTTGCAAAGCTTTCTTCCTTGTTGGATTGATTATCTGTTTTGTAGATTTATTTTTCAGTTGGGTGTGTTCGGAGATCACACTAAATGTCTGTAGTGAGCACTGTCTTTCTAATTAAATATTAGTAATGTTTGCATAATGTGCCAAAATCCTTTCTGTTTGCTTTCCCCTTCTTTCACATTTTTGTTTGTATGGATGAGCGTGCAGATAAGAGGACCAGAAAGAACCATCTTGCCTCTTCAGTTTGGGATGCCCCCTCTTCCTAGCTTGTGTCTGGTTGACTTGTCTATATTGTATTAAAATTGGGGCTTATTTGAAGGTTTCCTTCAAAGTTGCAAGTTATTCAGTCATACAGAACATCCCTTCCTTTACACATGACCTTCCCTTGCACTCTTCAAAAACTGGAATTGAAACATAGAATGGTGATTCATAATTCCTTAGTCTGAATTCTCCAATATTTGTTGGATATTATTATATTACTATATTACTATATTATTATATTACAATATAATAATAATAATAATAATAATAATAATAATAATAATTTATTTCTAGCCTGCCCTCTCTCCCTGGAGGGACTCAGGATGGTTTACATAAAAAGGCAAACATTCAATGCCTAGACATGGGTACAAACACATTAAATAATACAATATAATAGATACTAACAACAGAAAACTTACAACAAAGGAATTAAGCATCGAAATAAAAATAAAACAGTAACAATCCACTAAGACATAAAAAACCTATAACATAAACATTTCAATATACTCCCTAAAAGCAAATTAAGAGACATTACGTTAAAAATGGCTGACATATATGCCTTCTAAAAATTCATTGGTCAGTCTGTAAAAGTGTAGATCTAATATCATGGCATGCTTTTTGGCTCAAACATACATTTCAGCAATGCAACCTAATTTTAAAAGTTATCACTGAACTGTGTTAATAGTAAATTACTTTGAGCCAACTATGCTGATAAAAATTGCTTCATTTAGTTACCAGGAGAAGATGATTTAGGTAACAATGTGACTTCTCATTACCAATGCTAAATAGGAATTGTGAGCCCTTTGGGAAGAGACACAGATAAGTAGACGTTTTCATAAGCCACACATGACAGGTGGATATCAATATTGGAAATCCAGCGATAGATTTGCAACCAAATGTAACAGTCCACCTTCAGCTCCTGAGAGGAATACTCCCATCTAGGTTTCCAGCTAACCACGCCCTATTTCCAAATCTGTAATTAGTTCTATTCATCCAGACATTCCTCTGCCTCCGGCTTCTGATTTTCCTCTCAACATTTAGTAGCTGTTGGACTTCTAAATGTTTCAACATTTGAGTGGATTGGACCAGGGGCGGGAGGGCGGGGGTGGGGGTGGAGGGGAGGATGTTGCCTTCTTAGATGGATGTTGTTTCTTATCGTGCAGTAATCTTTGGCAAATGTGGTCAGTGTCAAGGAAAACTAGTATATGTGAAGTACTTGTGGATCTTCCTTATTTGGAAATTCAAAATAGTCCAAAATCCTAAGTTGTCTACGTGGGTGGCTAAGATAATGGCACCTTTGCTTTCTGATGGTTCAGTGTTTCATGCATAGAACTGTTAAAATATTTATAATATTACCTTGAGGTTAAATGTGTGAAGTGTATACAAAACATAAATGAATGAATGTTGTATTTAGACATAGGTCTCATCTCCAAGATATCTGATTATGCACACATATGCAAGTACAACTGTTTCAAAATAAAAATAAGAAATCTGAAATTCATAATACAGTATGTCTGTTCTTAAGCATTTTGGATAAGGGATAGTCAACCTGTATCTAATGTTTTGAATTAAAGTTTAGAAATTTGGTTAATGTTTCAATTTTTAAGAATAAAAATGTATCAAATCCAGTAAATGTAATTATTGTAAACCCGTTTCAAGAATAAATTAGCAAACAAGTGCTCTTGATGAAACTCAGTTTCAAAACATATTATTTAAATTATCAAAAGTTATATACATCAAATTATCAAAAGTTATATACATCAAAAGTTATATACATTGAGTATATAACTTTTGATGAAATTACAGTGGTTCTCAATGTGATATTTCAAGAATAACTTATCCATGACAGGCATTTCAGCCAGCACACACTGCTATATAAAAATAATCAAGTTTCTTAGTGTAGAGATTTCTTCCTGTCTTGTGAGAAAAGCAGTTGAAGTGCATATGACTGCACTTAATTATCTTTAAACTAGAAAAGATAATTCATTTTTTCATTACATTATACTTTGTGGAGGAGATTCAATTTAACATGTATTACCACAGAGCTTCCATATGTCTAAAAATTAATAACCAGCAGGTAGTTGAGAGTTTGCCAAGCATTGCAGAAATGGCCAGACTGGCCACAATGATTGCTTTTGATGTTCATATTAATTACTGTTGTCCATATCAGCGTGAGGGATAAGATGCATGGTCGGAAGGTTTGTTCCTTTGCCAAGAAACTGGAGAGATACTCGTGGCACATGATTTCATGTTTCAGTCTACCTTAAGGGTAGCTAGGCCATCCTTCACTACAGACCCTGTCATTGGTTCAAGCCCAGATTGTGTTCAGATCTGCCTACTAACATCGAAAATATTGGTCTGGAACACTGAGAAAATAAGAGAAATGCTACATACTGAGCCAGACCATTGTTCTCTTTAGCCCCATAGTATTAACACTGACTGGCAGGATTCTTTCTTAGCTGTGTCTGGAGATACTGAGAATTGAACCTAGGACTTTTTAACACCTGGAGAGCTTACACACTCTCCAAACATGCTACTAAGTTATTGAACATTGTATAGATCTGTGCAAATTGAATTACTTCTATGCCTCTTTGACGCATCCAGTATGATATAAATGCTTAATGAGCATTGCTTTACTACCCTGCAAGGTTCATTTATATCTCTTCAAATGACTAGAGGATACATAGCATGTTTTAAAAAAACAAGACTAAACTTTGAGGGAAGTTGTAAATGACCTGCAAGTTATAATAGTCAGGTACTATGCTTTTGATTATCTTTTTCTGAAAGACGATCATGTACATGAGAGTTATGCTTATTTACATGTGTTAGATTTAGGTGAGGCCACACAGTATTGTAGAGGGAAGACAATAAGTTTTGCTAAAACTATTCTGTTGTACCCTTTGACTCCCCTTCCTTGGAAGCTGCAAATAGTAGTTAATTACTTGGGAAGTGTGAGCTGCAGGGATTGCTCTCCTGTTCTGCTAATGGAGATTCTCTGCCAAAAGAAACCTCCCATGTCCAGATAGATCCTGGACCAAGACTTGCCTCAGCTTGCCTCAGCTGATGGACCACAAGCATTGCCCTGTAATCTGCAGGTCACTAAGTGGCACACCATGTAGAGAATGAATATATGGGCTCGGCCTTGGATCACATGGTGGATTTAATTGGGTATAGAAAAGCTTTGGTGGAACATTAAAGTACCAGAAAGATTACTGTGTAACACAACTATCGGGTGATTAGAACTGTGCAATTTTGTCTTCAAAGAAAGTGACATTTGGCTTTTTTTTGTTAGTCTGATAGCAGGGGGCAGGAACATTATGTAAAAATGTAAGGAGGCTTCTTCCTTGTTAAGGTGTAACTTGTCTTTATGCTCCCGTTTTCTTTTTGGTCTTTCAGGTCTTCACCCACCAGGACCTCCACTGGCAAGACCTATTCTTCCTCGAGAGAGGGGAGCATTAGATAGAGTTGTTGAATATTTAGTTGGCGATGGGCCACAAAACAGGTAAGATGTCCTTCTTTAAAGCCAAAAAATAAGCTGCTTCTTAAATTACCTCTGGAGTTTCTTCTTGGGAAGAGTTAAAACAATCCACAAAATGGCTTTTAATTCTGATGGCATTGTCTTTTTTTCAGAATCTAGGCTTAGTAATGTGAAAGGGAGCTCTTGATTGCAACCGTGTACATCTCTCCTTAGCTGCAGTGGATTCAACAGGACTGATAGTTAAATACGCAACCACATAATTTTAGTTGTATGTTTTCCTGATAACTTACAAAAGATCTGCATCACGATTGCTAAAAAAGCAGGCATTGTTCGGCGAATCATAACTGCAAATTTTAACAGTTTGGTTAGTATTGGGACCTTTTATTATATCAGATGCCATTGTTGAAACCAGATAATGAAATCGTTGGTTTGTTCAAGCAGTTATTTGGAGCCATTGTTGGACATTCCCCCTTTTCAGCATCCATTACTTCTTTTTTCACTCTTACCAACTTTAAGTAGATAAAATTTGAAAACAAGAATAAATTGCTACAATCAGTGAACAAAGAAACACAGTGCCCCTCTTCCTTTCTGAATAGTAATGCCCTCTTGCTAGCATGCAATCTAGACACATGGCTAAGTACCTAAATTAAATGGTACAGCAATGTTTTCAAACTCTCACATTTTGTTTTACAGGTATGCGCTGATTTGCCAGCAGTGTTTCTCCCACAATGGAATGGCTTTGAAGGAGGAATTTGAATATATTGGTAAGAAAAATGTTTATGAGCGTGATTACCAAAAACAAACAAATAAGTTTTGTATCAAAAAATTTCAACTTCTACCTTTTTTTAATTGTTCAAAATACTAGATGAGAATAAACGGTTGTATTTTTCTGCTTGAAGAAGCAGTTTGCTCCTTCAAAGTTTATTGAGACTTTTTGGTCATGTAAAATAATTGTTATGTGTCAGAAATGTGCTTTTATCCTGTAAAATCAAGCTTAAATGCACCTAACTCTGGCCTGGAGTGTGGCCCTTATTATGTCGTCTTTATCATAATTAGTAACATTCATTCAATCTATTCTTAATGTTTTTGAAATGTTGTAATGTCCATAGCATAGAACATGGGTGCTAAACTGGGCTGTAGAAGTAAGTTGTTTTCTACGTTTGCTTTTATAGACTGCTCTTGGATATTCCTACTACTCTGAAAGATTTTTTTTCTAGGTCCCCACTTTACCAGAACTTTAACAAAATTGGCTTTACCAGCAAAATCTGGAGGAGACATCAGAGGTGGAGTGGGAATAAACTCCCAGGGCTGTTCTTTAGTTTTATGACTGACAATAACTTAAGACAGACACACAGCTCTTCATTGAAGACAGATGTTTGCTTTTTCCTTCTCTCAGCAAACAAAGTTCTATCTGCAAGTGACGTGAAATAAATTAGCAGCAGTGCATGTTTTTTTCTGTTCTACTTGGGTGTATATAGCACTCCTGTTTGCCTTTGCAAAAGTGATCATCACAGTAACTAGTGCATTCAGTGTGCTTTTGTATTTTCAAGGCACTAAGACTGCTGCTGAAATATACTAAAAACATTGATCTGTACATGTATGGCTGAAGTTTGGCTTAAATCCTTCTGAATAGATTCCTTCCTCCCTCTCCTCCCACTAAATTCACTTAGAAGCTGTTAGATAATGATAGCCATGCTGTGCATATAAACAACAGAAACTTTGTGTTGGATAGCAGCCTTAAATTGGCATATGCTGGGGGTGATGTTTCTCTTATTTTGTGACACTTTGTGTTTTGGGATTGGGTTATCTGTGCTTGGAAGCAGATTTCAACATTGAGTAAGATTCATGTCAATGATCTCAACTAGTTTTTTCTCCCAAAATCCAGTATGTATAAATAAGCTCAATTTCTCCAGGACAATATATTTCCATCTTAGTCGACGCTCCCTGCCAAAAATAAAATAAATTCATATGTTATGTGGTGTATATGAAGAACTTGCAGATCTCGGGACTTAGAGACACTTTCTTTTCATAAAACATAATTTGAGGTTTCATATGTAAATTCTTTTAAAATATTTCATCTGCTGTTGATTGGGCTGTTGGGAGAATAATGCAGAACACTGCTGTAAAATGTGTGATTTTTCATTTATCATATTTTTATGCCACCCAGTTGCCAAAGCAGTCTGAGTGTTCATATTCTCTTTCCACACATATAGCCTGTACACACACACAGAATTGAAGTACTTACCTTACAAAGTAGTGTTTCCCTTTTAACATTTGCATACTCTATAGGAGAAATTTCCAAACATTTCGTGTTGGTGACACATCTTTTAAGACATTTTGTTTTGCCACACAGTAATTCAGTTTTACTAGCAAACTGGAAATTAAACCAATGCCTTATAAGAAATACAGACACATACATAAATTTTAATAACGATGGGGACACCTATCATTAAAACCTTTCAATTTTATGTATTTTTAAAACATATGATGTATTGCTTATTTCACATAGATTCAACAGTTTCTCCTTAAGATTGTATGACACTTATACACACTGCAGCCGACACAAATGGGTTGCGACACACAGCTTGGAAAGCTCTGCTCTAGAGAATTATCCAATGTCTTTTCACTTTTGGTGGGGGGTTGAGGTAATCAAGAAGAAGCACCTGGAAGGACCATGTGTTATACCCTATTGCCAGAAGCAAGTTACAAATCTATTAGCCCAGTAGCAATGTGTCCTCTCCCACATCATAGCTTTGGAATTGTGCAGGAGCCTAGATCTAAGTCTAGCCCTTGTTAGGACTCCTGTTGCTATGTTCCCTTTTGAACTAGGAGCAATAGAACCAAAATGCTTATGAAAATAAGTAGCAGGAATTTCAAGTGTGAGTAGGGACGTAGTTGCTATAAAAAAGCAACTCTTGATTTTTTGTTGTTGCTGTTACCTTTTGTTAATGGTCTAAATCAGTGGTTCCCAACCTTTTTTTGACCAGGGACCACTTTAACCATGGACCATTCTCCAACATTAGTACCAAAAGGGTTACAAATCACTTTTGGTCAACTTTAGATTTGTTTTGGTTATTTGGGGTGCTGATTCAGAAAACTGCATTGGATAGACCACATCAGCTCTTGTTTCCGATACAGAATACATGCCATCCATTAGTCGCCATCTGCTCACCCACAGAAAACCATATTTAATAAGCCTCAGCACTATAAAAGGGTTTTGAGAGACCAGTCACTCTTGTTGCAATGGTGTAGTAACGGTGAGGCCGTGGACCATATTTTAGTTCTTGTGGACCACTAGTGATCCACGGACCATAGGTTGGGAACCACTCGTCTAAATGGACAGTGAGCATAGATTGAAGTATTTGTACACTGACATTAATTGCTGACTGGACTTACAGGGTATTCATTTATCAAACCTTTGTGCAGCATTTAGATGTGCCTATTGCTTTTTCCTGAACCCTGCAAGAAAAACCAGACCACAAGCTCCACGACTCCCAGATTTCAGTTCTGAAAAGAAGCAGCCTGCTGAAGCTGAGATCCTGCCTGAATCACCACAGTCAGAGGAGGAGAAGTTACAAGAGACTGAAATAACTGAAGGTTTGTATGACTCCTCTACATTTTGCTTGATGTAAGGATCTCAAGGATCCTGCCCCCCAATGGCTCTTTATTAATTTACTAAGTCATGACATAATGTGATCCAAGCATTATTGCTCATGACTAGAGGCAACGACAGTGTATTGGCACAGGAAGAAAAATCTCCTTTCCTCTTGATTTTTGAGAACGATTTCTTGGATCAACCTTGTGATTTGTTTTGCCACATTTGTTCTTACTTTGCATGATTGCATTGTGTGGCTCCTTATCCATGGGGAGTATGGGGAACACACACTCTACACCTCACCTCCATGGATATCTGAAAACAATGGATAATAGTGAACCCTATATTGTAACTAAACCTAGGATTGTAGCATACCGTAGAATAGAACTGGAGAACCTAGAGAGACCTAGAAATATTTTCTTGGGGGAATATTTTTTAGAGTGTGGATAAATGAAACTGAATATTTTATCTGTGGATAAGGGTGTCATTCTGTATTTTGGGTTTTTTTTAAGCTATAAGAGAACTCCATATCACTCTTGATTTATAAACTGAATTCTTCTCTTGCCACCTAGCAAAATTAATATTTCCATTAAAATTTCTTTCTGTATCTAACCATGGATCCACTGATAAATTATATTTATATCAATATTACCTTTTATGCTTTACAATTAAGGGATTTGGGCCCCAGAGTGGTTCAATTTCATTGTTTTCAGCAGGTCATTGAGTTGAGGTGGAGTTGAAGTTTCTGCCTTTGTTTGTTAGGTTGGGCTGGCTGTTTTCCCGAGGGCAGGAAAATCTCGTAAAACAGACTTGTTTAAAAAGGGGGCAGTTCAAAGGCAAATTGTCAGATTTAATTTAACAAAGTTCCTTTTGAGATGTTTTATAGGCAAACAAATACAGCAAGCATCATATTCAGTGGACAAGAACATACAACATTCTAAGAATATAACGTAAAATGCTGTTTTAATATTTAATGCTCCATTTAAGAACATAGAATGAAGATATCTGTAGGTCCCATAATGTAGGATTCAGGGCAGTTTGTTTTAAAATGTCTATTGAGAGTATACCCAACCAAGATCTTAGACTTAATTGTGTTTGGTTGAAGGAATCGAACAGGCTGTGTGGGGTGATGTTGTTCAAAAAACGTTTGTAACATTTTATGTAGCTAATGCAGATTATTGGTTTTGCTCTTGTATATGTCCTGAAAGACAGCTTTGGTTTTTTTCAAATGCATGTCACCTTTTTGTGTGGTTATGGGTTTCCAAGGCATGTTTTAAGGAAACAAAATATTGTACCATAACAAACTGCAGGGGGTATTCCATTCTTTAAGTCACTTGAATGAGGAGAGGTTTCAAGGCACCCTCAAAACTAGGCCCAGACCCAGACAAACACTTTGGAGCAGGTTTTGGGTGATGCTGAGAAATGCAAGGAGGAGCGGAGGGCAGGGGATGGGATGGGAAGAAATATCCTGTCATGGCTACCAATGCATGTTTGGAGGTAGACTACGGAAACTCCTAGAATTGAAATCAAAAAATAATTGGCAGCAATTTAACATAGCAGCCTCCAGCAGATGCAGCAATCTATTGACAGTAACTGGGGTGTCCTAGTTACAGTCTTAGATTGGGACTTGATAGTTTCAAGTTCAGATCTCATAGTGAGACTCTCTGGGTGCCCTTGGGCCAGGCATCCTACTTCACAGGATTGTTATGAAGATAAAAGTGGGGGATTGGAGAACCACATCTGTTGCCTTGAGATCATTGGAGGAAAACGGGGACATTAATGTAATCAATAAAATCATTCTTCACTAAAAGTTTCACCATTGGCATTGTTTGCATATTTAAGTACTTATAGAAAAAAAGCATTATGAAATCATGCATCTTATGGAAGGACAAACAATTTCGAAGGGGTTGGGTGTCACAGTAACATTTTCTGTCCACAAACATACAATATTGAATTAGTTACAATGGCAGTGTGTGAAAGACGCTTTTTAAAAGCTATGAATTTAAGTATCTGCTCTTATGTTCCCAATTTTCCAATGAAAACAGGAGTTTTACTCCTTTAAAACCAAGATGCATCCTTTGTTTGAGCCAGATTGTATTTCTTTGAAGCCACCTTCATTTTACACAGAAACTTAGCTGCTTAACTAGTGGAAACATCTTTTCTTCTTAATTCACATTACCTTTCTTCACCTAAAGCCTTCAGTTCTGCATGCATTATGTACCCATGTCAGTAGCAAAATAGACTTTTCTGGATGTTTTTCTTGCTGGCTAAATAGCAATTTAAGTCATCTTGCTCATGGTGTAACTTAGCCACTATTTTTTGACCTGCAGGGAACTGGAAGAAACAAGATGGCATTGAGAACTCCTAGGTAATCCCTGTACAACTGGGATCCCAATGTTGGCTGATGCCTTACACTGTAGTCTTAATTAGTATATTTATCCAGCCGTGTTCAGGAGGAAGAGTTAAGGTCCCATGAGGAGATTAGTTAATCTCTGTCTCTCATACCCATTATGCTACTTTTTCAGATTGATATCAAATATCTGAACAGTCACATTGTGTGGAAAAAAATATAAAGCTAGCTGTCCACGGGGTGAGCTGATGAGAGGTTTTATGCATTTGTCAATTATTCATTCTGGACAGTTTTAGTAGAAAAGTAATTTATATGAAAATAGTTTTTAAACATTTGTTTTGTTAAAAACTGGCAAAACAAAATGGCCAAAAATCCATTTTTTTCATATAAAAAAGGTTTTATGCTAAAAGCAATATATTTTGTAGGGCTGGGCGGTTTCGTTTCGTAATTTCGTAATTCGGCAAAAATTTGTTATTTTTTTTTGAATAACGAAGCAATTTTGAACCATTCAGGAGCATCTAAAAAACGAAACGAATTTTTCAATTCGTTTCGTAATTGCTTCGTATTCGGTTCGTATTCGTTTCGAAATCGTTTCGAAATCATTTCGTTATTATTTCCGCATGTCTGGGGCAAGTTTTATAGCTGTTGTTTGTTTAATCAGTGAAAAAAAATTATAAATATCACACCAACAGTCAACAACAGAGGGAGAGGGAAGCTTCAAAAGTTCCCCCTGTCCCATATGGAGGTTTTTTAGCGTATTGCGCGGTCGCGTCTGCCATTAACGAATCGATTCGTATTCGTTTCGAAATCGTTTCGCAATTTACGAAATTTCGTAAATATCGAACTTTTTTTAAAGAAAAATTTCGGAATTCTTTTAAATATCGAAACGCAAAACCCCCCAAAAAACGAATCGAGTTTAGAAACAAATTTTTCCGTGGTTGCCCAGCCCTAATATTTTGCTCAAAAATATAACATGAGGCAAATGACACTTTTGCAAATGAGTACCCCAAATTCAAAAGAATAATTGAAAAATGTGTAAAATGTCTTAAAATATATCCAAACACTCTGAGAAACCTTTTCCATTTGAAGATAAGAGAAGCTGTGAATATTCTTTATGTCTCTTGCCAGAAGACAGTTTTTAGTCACTTAACCAAGGCTGCGTGTAGGACTTGCTCAGACTTGAAATAAAATTTCAAATTTCACATATATTTCAAAATTGGTTCTAAACATGTCACTTTTTTCTGAAATGCCCCAGAAATACATGTGTACAATTCCTTGTCCTCATTGTGTTTAAAAAGTAGTATTGTGCCCTCAGAGCAGCTTGGAGGGAAGCTGCTAGTATCAGATTGGCCTCCATTTTGCTGGTTGATGGGAACCATCCGATTTTCCACTTTGTCCCTGAGATACTTACATTTGTGTGTAACTGTAAGGAAAGGTTCATGAGAACAAAACCAGAAGGACTGTTTTGGGTAGAGCAGAGAAGTACTCAAAATGTTCCTTCTTACAACTGGATTAGGTTTCATGATTAATTTTTTTTTATTAAGGCAGATTAAAACAAAACCTTCATACAAGCCTACAAAAAACAAAGCATAATCAACAACAAAATATTAAAATACCTTTTCTAGAATAATACTACTACCCTAAACATAATACTATCCTAAACATTTCAAAAAACCAACAACAATAAGTACAAACTATAAAAAAAATCTACGTTCTCTGTCTGGTGGTTATCTTCTCTCAGTTTTCGACATCCATTTAGTGAAAAAGAACCATCAGTACATCCTTTCCCCACATAGTAATACAGTTATATTTTTAAAAACCCAGTGATTGAGATTTGGCCCAATCTTTGCTAGAGGAACACAATAAATGGGCCCCAGTCTTTCTTAAAGTTAGAGATTTCACCTGTATCAATGTAGTGAGTTTATCAGTTTCTGCAAGTTTGCTTATTTTCATAAGCTAATCATCTTGTGATGGAATCATTGAGTCTTTCCAACTTTGAGCATAGGTAACCCTTGCTGCTGTTATCTTGTATAGCAATAACAGCAACAGCCCAAGGTTGCACAGTGGGTTAAACCCCTGTGCCGGCAGGACTGAAGACCGACAGGTCGCAGGTTCGAATTCAGGGAGAGGCGGATAAGCTCCCTCTATCAACTCCAGCTCCTCATTTATTTACCTTACTTATATACCACTGTTCTCAGCCCGAAGGCGACTCACAGCGGTGAGTCTCTTATGTCTCTTATGCGGGGACATAAGAGAAGCCTCCCTCAAGGATGATAAAAACATCAAATTATCCAGGCGTCCCCTGGGCAGCGTCCTTGCAGACGGCCATTTCTCTCACACCAGAAGCAATTTGCAGTTCCTTAAGTCACTCCTGACACGACAAAAAAAAAACCAAAAACAAAACAGTAATAAAATTTTGTCAAGTTGTTCATCTAACATCCCAACAATTGGATTAGGTTACAAGACAATTCATGCAGGACACGGTCACAGTGCTAAGCCATAGCTGGGAGCAGATGTAGCAGTAGTTGATACTAGCCAAAATTGGCGCCTGTTCCAAATAAGGATTTCCCCCTCCTTTGTACTAAAACCATAATAAAAGGCAACTTTCTGCCCTTCCATTTAACATTGACCATTTCTTTACGGCTTATTTTCTAAACCTCACCTAGAAATCTAGTGAAATTTTCCAGTTGTAGATAATTATCCAGTTGTAGATAGTCTGTATTGCTTTCAAAAGCTGTGGAAAGCTTTGAAAAAAGTATGTTGACAAATTTTAGAGTTTTACTGCTAAGTTTATGGAAATAATATCATTGGTAATCAAATCTCTGTGTGTCTTGCAGAACATATAGATGAAGACATCCCACCTCCTGAAGCAGACGTGGAAAAGGTTCAAGCTTTGATTACTGAAGAACATAGTGTTGATGTAGTTGGAGCAGAAGAGATAGAACAGCTAACCAGTGAAACTAAAATTGGAGTTATAAACACAGAATCTGTTCCGGATGACCAAAGGGAAGAACCTGTAGAGGAAAAATAAGTGCCTGATATATTTTTTAAAGCAATATTCTTTCAGTTGTTACAAGTGGGTTGCTTTTGGGCATTGATATGTCTTCACTCTCACAAGCGCCAACTGCCACTCCCACTGTTAATTTAAAGCTATGTGCACAAGAAATATTGTGTTGCAAGACTGTGTTTGCTTTGGTGACCTAAAACACTTCAGAATGTGCAGCTATTCAAGCAAGGGTATCCTTACCTTTTGTTTTGGAAACTTTTTTTAAAAAGTTAACATACTTAACAGAGTATTTTTCATAAGAGCGATCTAAAAATGTAGTATTATTTGATCGTTGGACAAACGAGTGCTGTAAATGGCCTGAAGGTGTGTAATTCTTGGTTGAATAACATTTAGGGTTTGGGGTTTTTGTATTATATTTAGGCATTGAATACATTTTAAGTATCTAGATGTTTACAGGAGAAAAGATATTTAGGTATGCAGTACAAAAGTGTCATCACAATTAAAACTTAAGCCACTTTTTATCCTTTTATTTTTTGAGGGAATGCATTTGAGGGGTACGGTTTGTCCTTTTTGGAGCTATATACATAACAGATGTGCTAAAGGCATGTGAAATAGAAATAGGTTGTGTTTACATGAAGCGTAGGAATATCTGCACTTGATTGTACTTGAATACTGAACATTTATTTATACCTGTACGATAATGACTGAATAGATGAATTTTGTGTATTTTGTTAAAGGAGAAATAAAGACTATGTAGCATTAAGTGTTCATTTTGCATATTTTCATAATTGCCTCAAGAGTCCAACTACACCAGATGTTGGCAAACACTGGAAGTTGTTCAGCTGCAACTTCCAGTAGTGTCCGCCAACATAGAGTTGGAAAAAGCTGAGAGTTTGGCAATATCTGGAAGGCAGCACAGTTTCCACACAGTACAGTTACGATTAAAACCATTTTTAATTTTGTGAAAGTCCTTCAAGGATAAAATCAGTATAGGAAAGCCTAATTTTAAGAGATAACATTCCACGTTCATATACATCAGGCATGGACAAACTTTGGCCCTCCAGGTGTTCTGGACTTCAACTTCCACAATTCCTAATGACTGGGAGTTGAAATCCAAACACCCGGAGGGCCAAAATTTACTCATGCCCGATATACATGTTAACTGTCAGATAACTACTGATAATTTGTGATGATTAGATTTGTTTGTGATTCTCTAGCATCATTTTTATGTTTGGTAATACACACTGGGTATGTGCTTTCTTTCTTTTTTAATGTCCCTAGACTCAACCAGTACAGCATGAAACCTCTTTTATATAAACGTATATCAGATAATCATCTGAAGGCATAGAGCATTAAGTTAACATAGTAATGCTAAGCAGATCCCAGCCTAGACAACACCACCTCACAGACTTTTGGAACATCATGTAAAGTGATTGAGGTTTTCTTTTGAAGAGAAAAGCAGAATAAAAAGTAATGTGCTTGATTTTTGAAATACGGCTTGAGTAGTGTTTCATATTTCAGATATTTTTTTTGGATTTTTTAGAATACTTGCATTTACATAATGGAGTTAAACCCAAGACTAAACATGAAATCCATGCATGTTTCATCTACATATAACCTTGAAGGCACTTTTATACACACTATTTTTTTGTATAATTTTGTGCATTAAGAAAAACTACTTTAGCAGATATGCTAATGACTGTGGGCAGAAGTATTAATTATGGTGTGTGCATGCTAAAGCACTAATGCACCATGCATGCTTCTCCCCTGGCACCCCACTGTGGACAGGCAAACAGTGCTGGTTGCCAAGGGATTTTGTAACACCTCTGAGACTAAGGCACTTTCCACACAGCTGTATAAAATCCATATTGAACTGGAATATATGGCAATGTGGACTCAGATAATCTAGTTCAAAGCAGATCCTGTGGATTATCTGCCTTGATATTCTGGGTTTATGGCTGTGTGGAAGGGTCCTAACAGAGAATGGTGCATCTGTTGAAGTAAACTTAGGGCCCTTCCACACAGCCATATAACCCAGAATATCCAGACAGAAAAATTCACAATATCTGCTTTGAACTGGGTTATCTGAGTCCATGCTGCCATATAGTACAATTCAAAGCAGAAAATTTGGGATTTTATTCAGCTGTGTGGAAGGGGCCTTGGTCTATGAAAGCTTATGTTATCAACTTTGTTTTCTCAGTTAGTCTCTAAGGTACTACAAGAATCTTTTGCATACTGATATTCCAAATAAATATAGCTATGGCTTTGAATTTACTAAAATGCCACATGCTTCCTGTGATAATGGCGCTATTGTTGAGTTCTGCTGGGCTAATATAATTAGAAGTTTACTAATTAGGAATAGATATTGCTTTCCCCCTTCAGAAACATGGTAGAGTTCTAGTTTTATACTGTTTTTTATTGATGGCATTAAATTGTTGCCAACACTGTGCACTGCCCTGAGTCCCCTTTGGGATTGAGAAGGGAGGTATACAAATACTGCAAATAATAATAATAATAATAATAATAATAATAATTCTGCCAGCTGCAGAAGGCCACCTTACTGGAATCTGCACACATTATTCACCGATACATCAGACAGTCCTAGACACTTGGGAAGTGTCCGACGTGTGATTCAATACAACAGCCAGCAGAGTGTCTGCTGTGGACTCATCTTGTTGTGTTTCAAATAATAATAATAATAATAATAATAATAATAATAATAATAATAATAATCCATAAATAGGCCTCTGATTACCATGGCAATTATGGAGGTTATGGTTAGATAGCCTGCAAAACTGCAGCATAGCTCTCTGTGCCTCATCTGTAGGAAGGAAACTCTCAGTCTCAATAGGGAAAGGCTGCAAGCAAAGTTTCCATCTAAACCCACTTTAGGACAAAAATATGGAATATTTGGACCTTCAGATAGCATTGGCCTGCCAATCCTATTAACCTTATTTATTTATTTATTTATTTATTTATTTATTCCGCCCTTCTCACCCCGAAGGGGACTCAGGGCGGAGCACAGCATATACACGGCAAACATTCAATGCCAGAAACAAATTCATATACACATATATAAACGTTAAAAAACAGTTATCAAAATATTAAAATACACCATTTGAAATTGTCCTAGTCATCCGCATCAAATCTAATTGGTCAGGTCATCTTTCCTATTGCTGTTTTATTGCCCTGTCCCGAAGGCTTGGTCCCACAGCCAAGTTTTTACCACCCTTCTAAAGGACAGGAGAGAGGGGGCCAACCTGATTTCACCAGGAAGGGAGTTCCATAGCCGGGGAGCAATCACCGAGAAGGCCCTGTCTCTTGTCCCTACCAATCGTTCCTGTGGCAATGGTGGGACGGAAAGCAAGGCCTCCCAGGAGGATCTTAGACAACATGGACAAAAAAAATTGCAAATAACATTTGGAGGCCCAAATGTTTCCCGTCCCTAAATGTATTTCCATGTGTCTGCCCTTGCACAGAGATTGGAAAAGTTGAACTATGATTCCCCATGGGTCATGCTGACGGGCAGCATCTGGGAACTGTAACCCCAAAAAGGCCATTTCCTAAACTCTGCCCCAGGTCCTGTTAGAATGGATAGGTCCCAGCATTCAGCAACTATGTCTCTCATGTCATATGTCACTTTTGAGCCAGGGTTTCTAGTCATGGTTGTTCCCTCCCTTTGCTGTCAAGATTGGTTCAGTTCATCAGACCTCCCCGACTACCTCTTCCTAAGCAGCTTCTGATGGCACCAAAGAGAGATTGAGAAAGTGGCAGGACGAGAGGGAATTCCTTCCATCTGCTCCACCAGCAACAGCATTGTTGCCATCAGATCTCAGCTCAGCTGCCAAGGGTAAGGCTGGCTCTTGCTGTATATTAGCACATGTTACAAACTTCATTTAGGAGTAATCAGTTTAGAGCAATCTAAATAAACTATATTTGATGCCTCTGCTCAGCGCAAACCATCTGAAGGAAATGTTCTGCTTTTGAAATTTCATGTATTTACCAAAAACAAAACCCAATCAACTTTGTGCAGCCTTGGGAAAAAGGAAGACCGTTGAAGACAGCAGTATAATTGATTTGATGAAAATGATAACAGTATCCCCGTAAAAGAGAAAGAGCAAAGTAATTGTTTCAGATTGTAAGGTCTCTGAACAGGGACTATATCACTTTCATATTCTGTACACCTGTTTGAGTTAAATATGAAATAGTAACAGGGTAATAGTTATTGTATAAGCAGTGAGGAATCCCTCCAATGTGTATGCAATTAACTCCGATCCAGTCCTCTAGGTTTTATATCTAGAATGAATAGTGTCATAAATTCCAGAGTAGTACAGCCAATATCACTGTTATTCCAAAATAACAAGGGCCCTGCTACACAGCTGAATAAAATCCCACATTATCTGCTTTGAACTGGAATATATGGCAGTGTGGACTCAGATAACCCGTTCAAACCAGATATTGTGGGATTTTCTGACTTGATATTCTGGGTTATATGGCGGTGTGGAAGGGCCCAGAGTCACGATTCTTAAGACTAGCATCAAATATTTGCCTAGTTTCCATTTTTGTGTGGAAATTAAGAATTCAGGGTTGGAGGTGCAAATTTCTTCCCACACCCAGATTATCTGAATATTGTCTGTCTGGTCTTTTTTGGACATCGTTGCCTCCTCACCCTCTCTTCTCCTTATTCCTGGATTAGTCAACACATCACTCCACCCCTCCTGAAACCATATAGTGCAGTGGTTCTCAACCTTCCTAATGCTGCGACCCCTTAATACAGTTCCTCATATCGTGGTGACCTCCAACCATAAAATTATTTTTTGTTGCTACTTCATAACTGTAATTTTGCTACTATTATTATTTGTAATGTAAATATGCAGGATGCATTTTCATTCACTGGACTAAATTTGGCACAAATACTGGATACACCCAAATTTGGGGATTGATTTTGTCATTTGGGAATTGTAGTTGCTGGGATTTATAGTTCACCTACGCTCAAAGAGCATTCTGAACTCCACTAACGATGGAATTGAACCAAACTTGGCACATAGAACTCCCATGACCAACAGGAAATACTGGAAGGGTTTGGTGGGCATTGATCTTGAGTTTTGGAGTTGTAGTTCACCTACATCCAGAGAGCACTGGGGACTCAAACAATGATCTGACCTCCAACCATACTCAATACACCCAAATGTGAACACTGGTAAAGTTTGGGAAAAACATATCTTGACATTTGTGAGTTGAACCCCACCAACAATGAAATTGGGCCAAACTTCCCATGACCAACAGAAAATACTGTGTTTACTGATGATCTTTGGCAATCTCTCTTACACCCCCTTGCAACCCCCCCCCCCAGCGGTCCCGACCCCCAGGTTGAGAAACACTGATATAGTGAGTGGGATAATGTCAACAACTCAATATGGTCAATCTGATTTGGAATATCAATTTCAGTAAGTGAACATATTTTCAGGGGTGGCAAATATGTTCACTTGCTGAAATATAGAAAAAAAGAATTTATCTGAGCCATCTTCATGTTTGGAAGATATCCCTCCCGTTTACAGGATTTACAGTCGAAGTGCAGTGGAAATGAGCCATTGTAAGAACTTGACGATCAAGTGTTCCCTTTTCTCCACAATGCTGGTTTATTTTTGGATAAGCTATAGAAGAGTACTAGGATGAGATTTCATGTTAAAGACCTAATGCTATCTGATACCCTAGAACCTGTGCTGCTGTCATTCTAAATAGTTCCCCAATAGGGCATGAATCGTCTG